TACAAATATACCTCATTCTGTTTACCCACTCATCGGTTGATGGATATTTGAGTTGTTTTATTTTGGGGCTATTATGAGTATTGGTGCTGTGACTATTTGTGTACAAGTTTTTGTGTGGATATATGTTTTCATTTCTCTTGTGTAAATATCTAGGAGTGAAATTACTGGGTCATATGGTGTCTCTGTGTTTAACTTAATGAGGAATTGTCAAGTTGTAATCCAAAGTAGCTGTACCATTTTATACTCCCATCAGTGATATATGAGGGTTTCAGTTTCTCCACATCCTTGTCAACACTTGCTTTAATCTGTGTTTTTTATTATAGCCATTACAGTGGGTGTGAAGTGGTGCCCCATTGTGGCTCTGATTTGCATTTGCCTGATGTGATGATAGTGATGTTGAGCATTTTTTCATATGTCTGTTGGCCATCTGTATGTTTTCTTTGGAAAAATATCTCTTCATGTCCTCTGCCCATTTTTTATTGGATTTTATTGAGTTGTATGAGTACTTTATATATTGGATATTAACCCCTTATCAGTTATATCATTTGTGAACACATTCTCCCATTCAGTAGGTTGTTGTTGGTTTCCTTCACGGTACAGAAGCTGTTTTTAAATTATTTTTTTTATTTTTTATTATTATTTTTTAAAATCTTTATTGTTGGATGTAAATTGTATTACAGATGTTCCACATTTTTCCCCCATTGACCCCCTCCTCCCCCCTCCCGCCCCCTCCCACCTTTTCCCACACTATTGTCTGTGTCCATTGGTTATGCATATAAGTTCCTTGGTTCATTTCTTCCCACCCCCCCAACCCCTTTCCCTTTGAGGTTTGTCAGTCTAGCAATGAATTTGTGCTTCTTAATCCCTTCACCTTTTTCACCCATTCCCCCAACCCCCTTCCCAACTAGCAACCAACAAAATGTTCTCTGTATCTATGAGAATGTTTCTTGTTCTACCTGTTCATTTTGTTTGTAGATTCCATTGTTGATAGATATGTATTCATTGCCATTTTGTTTGTTCATATATTTTATCTTTTTCTTCAAAAAGACCCTTCATCATTTCATATAATAACGGTTTGATAGTGATGAACTCCTTTAACTTTTTCTTGTCTGGGAAAGTTTTTATATGTCCATCAATTCTATTTCTTTTCTTTTTTTTAAATTTATCTTCAGATAGAGCAGGAGGGAGAGATGGAGGAAGAGAGAGAGATAAACATTGACGTGAAAGAGACACATCGACTGGCTGCCACCCACACAACCCCAACCGGAGCCGGGGACAAACTGCAACCAAGGTACATGCCCTTAGTGGGAACCGAACCCAGGACTCTATAGTCCACGGGCCGATGCTCTAACCATTGAGCAAAACCGGCCAGGGCTATGTCCATCAATTCTAAATGACAGCTTTGCAGGATAGAGTAATTTTGGTTGTAGGTTCTTGCTTTTCATCACTCTGAATATTTCTTGCTACTCCCTTCTGGCCTGCAAAGTTTCTTTTGAGAAATCAGCTGACAGCCTAATGGGAACTCCCTTGTAGGTAACTAGCTGCCTTTCTCTTGCTGCTTTTAAGATTCTCTCTTTGTCTTGAACATTTTGCATTTTGATGATGATGTGTCTTGGTGTGGGCCTCTTGGGGTTCATCTTGTTTGGGACTCTCTGTGCTTCCTGGACTTGTAAGTCTGTTTCCTTCACCAAGTTAGGAAAGTTTTCTGCCATTATTGTTTCAAACAGGTTTTCGATTTCTTGTTCTCGCTCTTCTCCTTCTGGCACCCCCAAGATGCGAATGTTGGCACGCTTGAGGTTGTCCCAGAGGCTCCTTACACTATCCTCATTTTTTTGGATTCTTTTTTCTTTTTGCTGTTCTGATTGGGCATTTTTTGCTTCCTTATATTCCAAATCGATGGTTTGCTCCTTGGATTTACGTACTCTATTATTGAAGCTGTGTAAATTATTCTTTATTTCAATTAATGCCGCCTCCAATTCTAACTGTGTCTCCATGATTTCTAACTGGTCCTTTTTTATGCTCTTGAGGCCCTCCCTAAGTTCACTGAGGTTCTCACTAAGTTCATTGAGCATCCTTATAAGCAGTATTTTGAACTCAGTATCTGTTAGGTTGCTTATCTCCATTTCGCTTAGTTCTTTTATTGGGGTTTTGTTCTGTTCTTTCATTTGGGACCTGTTTCTTTGTCTCCTCATTTTGGCTGCCTCCCTGTGTTTGTTTCAGTGTATTCAGTGTAAGAAACTTAATGAGAGGTATGGGGCTTGCTGAGACCAGATGCTGCTCGTTTGAAAGAATTTAGGAAAAACCTGAAGCAGGACAAGACAGGCCAATCCTATGGTTAAGCAAGTGGCAACAGCTTGGGTGAGCTTGAAAGTTGGGTGGGGTGGGGTGGGGCGGGGCCTCAGGGAGTCAACAGGGCGGGGCTACCAGTGTGAGCCAGGTTGCTGGAGTCCCAGATATGGCGACTGTCTGCCGCCCCCGAGAAGGGCTCACCAAAGGAACAAAGGCCTCTTACAGCACGTTTGTCCCCAAGAAAGCCCCCTCTCCCGCCCTCGCTCCAGTACCAAACAGCTCAGTTCTTCCCTGTATGTCTCTGGTGCCCCTCGATCTGCCTCCCTTCCAAGCTTAGAGGGAGAGAGTCTGATAAGTCTGTGCACGGGCCCTTTAGGGAGCTGCCTGGGGCTCCAGCTGCTTCAGCCTCCCTGAGCCTCAGTTCCCGCTGGTTTTTCCAGCCAGAAGTTATGGGGATTCTCTTCCTGGCACTGGAACCCTGAGCGGGGCACCAGTCTGGATGTGGCTGCTGCTTTAATTTCGTAGTTGTAGGACTTCCATTCAGCTCGATTTCAGGCGGTTTTGAATGATGGTTGTTCTGTAGTTTAGTTGTAACTTTGATGTGGTTGTGGGAGGACGCGATACCGCGTTTACCTACCCGCCATCTTGACCGGAAGTCCTCCCACCATCTTGACCGGAAGTCCTCCAGAAGCTTTTTAATTTGATGAATTACTATTTCCTTATTTTTGCTTGTTTTCCTTGCTTGAGGGGACATAGCCAAAAGGATATTACAAAACTAATGTCAAATAGTTTACTACTTATGTTTTCTTCTAGGAGTTTTATGGTTTCAAGTCTTACATTTAAGTCTTTAATCCATTTGAGTTTATTTTTGTATATGGTGTAAGAGACTGGTCCAGTTTCGTTTTTTGCATGTATCTGTCTATTTTTACCAAAATCACTGTTGAAGAAAGACCGTCATTTCTCCATTGTATATTTTTGCCTCCTTTGTTGCAGATTAATTGACCATATAAGCAAGGGCTTATTTCTGGGCTCTCAATTCTGTTCTGTTCCATTGATTTTTTTTTTTTTTGGTACGTGCCACTAGCGGGAACCGAACCCAGGACTCTCTGGTTTGCAGGCTGATGCTCCGACTGCTGAGCCAAACCGGCCAGGGCTGTTCCATTGACTTTTGTGTCTGTTTCTGCGCCAGTACCCTCTTGTTTTGATTATTACAGATTCATAGTATAGTTTGAAATCAGAGCAGAAAATATCTTAATAGTAAATATTTGAATAATAACAGTTTCATTTCTTAAGCATCTCTTATTGTACCAGGCTCTGGTATGGTTATTTAATCTGACAACTCTGCAAATTTAGTAGTATTGTTGTTACTTTACCAGAAGAAAAACCGTACACAACAGTTGAGGAACTGGCTCAAGTTTCACAGCTAGGATGTTTCTGACTTGGGATTTGTACCCAGGTCTGGCTGCATCAAAGGCTATATCTGCTTTTCTCCCCTACCCACCCCCATATATATATATATATATGAAATCTCCCTTAACTCTTTTTTTTTTTTTTTAATTTTTTTTTTTTTTTTTTATCCTCACCCGAGGACATTTTTCCATTTTTTGTTCAGGTAGAGTGGGAGGGAGAGAGAGAAACATCGATGTGAAGGGACACATCGAGTGGCTGCCACCCGCACAGGGCCGGGGACAAACTGCAACCGAGGTACGCGCCCTTAGCGGGAACCGAACCCGGGTCTCTCAGGACCGCAGGCCGATGCTCTAACCGCTGAGCCAAACCGGCCAGGGCTCCCTTAACTCTTAAAATATAAGATTCACTGAATCTTAGAACCACAAAGTTTTAAAAAAATTATTAATGCTAAATTAAAAACACACAAAAAGTATAAGATTAATAAAACAAACACTGTATACAAGCCACATATAATAAGAAATAAAACCTTGCCAACACAGTTAAATCTCCCTTGGTTACCCTTTCCCAGCCCCTCCTCTTTTCCTCCCTTCTCCTTTCCCCCTCTCCTGAATTTGGACCACACATTTGAGCATTAGTAGGCAGAAGGGAAGAGTGGTTCGAAACATGGGCTTCGCCAGTTCCTAGATGCATGATCTTGGGCAAGCACGTAGCCTTTCAAAGCCTCCATGTTTCTATCTGCAAATGGACATTATAAAAATAAAACAGTCCTCAAAGGGTCACTATAAGGATTAAATGGAACAAAGCATGCAAATCAATTAGCACAGGGCTTGGCACAAAGGTGAGCTTAGTACGTGGTGGCAAATATTGGTACCAGATTCTTAGAGCCATGGACCCAGGTTCATAAAATGCTTGATTTAGAAGGGAACAGAGTGTATATGGTGTAAAAGACTGGTCCAGTTGGACTGAATCCAACTTTCCTCCTGTTTTTGAGATGACATAACTGAGGGCAGAGAAATGGACAGGGACTCGTCTAAGCTCACAGAGGGTGAGCAGCTCCTTTCGGCATCCACAGATCTATGGATGAGAAGGGGAGACAAAGTTATTTTCTGCTTCAAAATGATTTTCTGCTAGGGAGTGATGTTTCTGAAAATATTCAAAGAGCCTTATGAATTCAAAGGTCTGCCTAGAAACAAGTGATGAGGGCACTGGACAGCCAATGGAAGCATGCTGGCCTTTCTACCTGCCTGGGCAGCTCCTCCTCCCTATCCTGTTCCATCTAAGGCAGATTTACCCAAGTCAGGGTATTTCCAGCTTTGCGGCTTTCACTTCCACTTCTACAAAGTAGGTGGAGTGGCCTCCTGTGGACGAATCAGATTTCTCCTCAGCCCCAACTTCAAGAGGTGAGCCAGGAGTCCAGGGTCTCAGACACGCAGGCGGCGGCAGCAGCAGCAACAGAGGCAGCAAGAGGTCCGGGTTAGACCAGAGGCCAGAACCATGGAAGACCAGCGGGACCTCATCTCCAACCATGAACAGATGCCCATGCTGGGCCAGCGCCCCAGTGCCCCGGAGAGGTATGTGTGAGCAGCAGGAGAGAGCACACAAATCCTGGGCCCCACAGACATGCAGAGGTGCTGGGGAAGAAGCAGCAGCCAGAGTCTCAGGAGGCACGGAGTTAGGCTCTGCCTCGAACAACATTTGGGTGATTTTGAGCAAGTCTCTGGCCTGCCCTGGCTTTGGTCCTCCCTCCTATAAAAGGGAGCTCCTCTAGCACAGGGCTTTTAACTTTACATCATGCACGTCCCTTCTGAAAATCAGAAGAGAGTTCTGGACTCTCCCTAGAGTTTCACACAGATCAGCGGCTTCCTGGAACCCCCCTGAAGGTGGGCCATGAACCCTACTAGGGTTAGAAATCTTGGACCAGATTTTGAAAATGTGATAAATCCTAGGTGGAGAAACAAAGTTTCTAAAAGAATGGTAGAGTAGCTCGTTATAGAGGAAATTGTAGTTGCAGGTGTCTGTAGGGTAGATGGAGACACTGGCCCTCACAGGAAGGATTGAGAGGTTGGAAGGGGGTCAAAAAAGGGCAAGGGGGGCTCTGGCTAAATTTCTAGAAGGGGCTGAGGGTTGATGTGGGCTGTGTTCTGCCTGTGCCCCTCTCCCTAGCAGCAGGGGGCCATCCAGAGGACCTATGCTCCCCTCACACAGCCTCAAGATGGCCTCACCCATGTGTTTCCCTGAAAGAAGGGGTGGGGCTAGAGTGCAATTAAACACATGTACCCTGCTCTACCCACTTTCCAAAAAATACTTTGTGAATTATTGGGACTTGTGGCTGGATGTGATGTCAGCTGTTGCCAGGCAGAAAGGAGTTTGAGAGAGACACTCAAGAGGTGTCATGAGGATCTGTGTTCTGGGGAATCGGTAACCAGATACAGCCCATTAGGGCAATGATCTGTGAAAACCCTGGGGAATCCTATGGCTAGCAGGGCCAGCCAGCTCTCCTGTGACGCTGGATTCTGGTCCAGCTTCTCTGCTGTTCCAAGTGACTTGGATAAATCACTGCTTCTTTCTGGGTCTCAGTAATAGTAATGACAATAGTCAGGATAATAGTTCCCATTCACTGTGCACTTGTTATAAGTTCCCAGCCACTGTTAGTAATTATGGACACATAACTAAACCCTAAACTCAATCCCAATTCTCACAGTAACCCTATGAGTCAGGTACTTTCATTATCCTCATTTTTTACATGAAAAAAATTGAAGCTTATTTTGGAAAGTGACTTACTTATCATAACTAGTGAATATTGGAGCCAGAATCTGAGCCTAGGAATAGTCTGGTTTCAAAGTTTCAGCTGACTACCATCTGGCCCCCTTCTAGAGGAACAATTTGCAGAGAGGGGAGGTGGGGTCCTTCTGAGCTCAGGTCACCCCGTGAGTTGTAGACCCAGTGTGGGCTCAGTGTACAGAGAGGGTGCCCCCTTCCCCCCCCACATCAAATCCTTGTCTGGTTTTTCTTTTAGTTCAGTCACTGCTTCTAAAACTGGCTTGGTCCTGTGTGCTCAGGCCATTCCAGTCAGACTTGAGCCTGTTCAGACCCTTTTGTGAACACTTCTGCCTGGCAACATTTGAATCATCATTCCTGCTAGTTCTGGTTGGCTCCTGACTTTGGCTGGTTACTTTGTTATTGTTGAAGTAGACAGTGGAAAGGAGGAAATAGAACCCAAGGGACAGGCATTCAAGATGTATAAAGAGGAAGGATGCCAGATGCTAAAGTTAACTATTAACTCCCTTGAGAATGGCTAAGGAGTGCTATGTGCTAGTAATGGAGGGGAGAGCTTTACCCCGTGATCTTATTTAATATAACAACCCTTTGAGTAGACGTTTTACCTCAACTTACTCAAGAGGTTGACTTGCTGGGGTCCCTGAGCTACAGGAGTGGCAGAGCAGCTCTAGTCCAGATTATGTGCTATCATCTTTTTATTTTTTTATCCTCACCCGAGGACATTTTTCCATTTTTGTTCAGATAGAGTTGGAGGGAGAGAGAGAGAGAGAGAGAAACATCAATGTGAAAGGGACACATCGAGTGGCTGCCTCCGACATGACCCCAATCAGGGCCGGGGATGAATTGCAACTGAGGTGCGTACCCCGGACTGGAATCGAAGCCAGGACTCATTGGTCCGTGGGCCGATGCTCTAACCGCTGAGCCAAACGGGCCAGGGCTATGTGTTGTCATCTTTAATGTGGTTCTCTTAGGCCTTATGAGGAACTGAGGTTCAGAGAGGGGAAGGGGCTTTCCCTGAGATCACATGGGGAGAGGCAGAGCTGGAACTAGATTGTGTGGGGCTGCAGAAGTGAGCAGGTAGGCAGTGAGCTGCAGACCTTGAACTCAGGCAAGACCCAGGCGGGGGTGGGATTTTCACCTTTAGAGGTTAGGCAACCCTGTTCCTCCGAAAGTCCGAGAAGTGGGATTTGTTCTCCCTTCCTGTTTGGTCTCCACCTTTCCCCCACACAGGGTATTTGCTTTCTCCTAGAGAGACAGTCCTTTGAGCTGGGCCTTGGCCCAGAAAATGCAGAGGGCTGGCAAGCAGGAAGCCAGTGAGAAGGAGCTGTGTCTGTGATGTCATGAGTTACTAGGCAAAAGGGTGTCTGGGACTCTCCTAACCCTCCTGCTGGTTGCTGGAGTAAACAGGGTGCAGTCTCATCCCGACAGTTTCCAGTGGGGTCCTACTAGTGCCACCCCTGGGGTGAGGTGGAAGGAACAGGTCAGAAACTCTCGTGGTCCTGGGGCAGGATCCTTACAACTCCCATACTGTAACTTGTGCATGTGCTCCTCAAACTCCATCCAAGGCCAACAGCTGCGGGGGTTTTCTGAGGTCTGAGCTCTGGCCACACTTCCGTGTGCAGCTAGCCAGTCCAGAGAACATGAGAAATTCTCCCAGCTCACGCAGGCTCAGGCGCCATGCTCCTACAGAAATCCCTCCTGAGTGGATATTATCATGTGAAATACTTCTGTGCCCACACTCAGCTCTCTAAAAACCACCCAATCCTAGGACTGCTGAGGTGAGAGGTACCCACGTGACAGGCCCAGAGAATGTCAGAGACTTGCTCAGACACACGAAGTCTGGGCCACGGGGGTGGTGACGAGCCCTGCTCCAGCTTGACACTGTCCAGTGCTTCCAGCTGCTCCTAAAATGTCAGACTCACTTGTTTTTCAGGTGGGCCTGCAAGCTCTGCTGTCCAAGTCCCACTTCCTTCCTTACCTGATTTCACTGCAGGGGTTGGGTGGGTAGGAGGATTAAACCCCATCCCCCTCGAGGGCAGCCCTGATCCTTAGGAGACCCCCTGGCAGAGGGAACCTGGGGAGACCCTCCACCTTAACCCACTGCACAGGTGGGGCTGAGGCCGAGGGAGGACAAGGCACCGGTCCCTGGCTCTTCCCCATTCAGCCTAAGCCCAGGGGCAGCTTCAGGATTTCAACTTGGGAGGGCTGTAGGGCCAGCCATGGTTGGAAGTGGGGGGGGGGGGATGTCTTTAAGCTGCATTCTCTAGTCACTTGTTTGTGCTTAAAGTATGTGTTAGGGGTAGCAGAGGAGGTGGGTGGGACACATTCCCCCACTTCCAGCCAGTCCTTGGGGCAGCCACCTCCATGGACTCTCCTCTGACTTCTCCTCCCTCCCCCCAACAGCAAGTGCAGCCGCGGAGCTCTGTACACAGGCTTTTCTGTCCTGGTGGCGCTGCTCCTGGCTGGTCAGGCCACCACTGCCTACTTCCTGTACCAGCAGCAGGGCCGGCTGGACAAGCTGACGGTCACCTCGCAGAATCTGCAGCTGGAGAGCCTGCGCATGAAGCTTCCCAAGTGTGCGTGTCCCACCTCCATCCTGACACCCACCATCCCTGACCTCAGAGACCCCATTCCGGCACCTAGTGGGGCCCACTGTCCTCTCCTGGTCTGGAAACCCAGCCCTTCTTCATCTGGGTCTGAGATCTTGGTGCTCGGGTCTGAGTACCCCCTTCCCTGGGCACTGGGGCCACACTCATGCTGTACCTTCTGACTCCACAGCTGCCAAGCCTGTGAACAAGATGCGGGTGGCCACCCCCATGCTGATGCAGGCGCTGCCCGTGGAAGGCATGCTCCAGGGGGTAAGGGCGACCCCTGGGGGGTGCAAGGGACAGGGGAGAACAGCTGGCCCAGGAAAAGCCCAGCTGGGGAGGGGGTCCTGACTGCCAGGGGAGGACAGGCCCCATCTCAGGAAGAGGAGGAATCCCAGGGCTGGGGGACAGCCTCTTGGGGCCGTGCCTGACAGGAGGGCTCTGCCCTGTACTGCTTACAAGGTGCTTCTCATGTCCCATAGTGTCTCACGTCCCCTCCTGTTCTCAGAGCCCTAATGTATGGATAAGGCTGCTATTCACAAAACCACCTGCTGTCCAAAAAGCCCTGGTTGGGAAAGTATATGCAAATCTGACCACAAGGACATTGAGGCAGAAGGATAAAGTGACTTGCTGGAGCTCTCACATTTGGAGGTGGCAGACAGATGGTCCTGTGGAGAGTCTGGGACTCTAGACTATTAACCCAGGCCCCAGCGGCTGCCTCGCACCAGGGCCGCTCCTCTGGGGGCCCGTGCTGATAACCCCACTCCTTCTCCCACAGCCCATGCAGAACGCCACCAAGTACGGCAACACCACACAGGACCACGTGATGCACCTGCTCCTGGTGAGTGGGGCCCAGCAGACCCCCGGCAAGGCCGCGCTCTGAGACCCGCACCTTGCCCGGCTCACGGTAGACATTCAGTATGGCAGGGGTGGGGAACCTTTTTTCTGCCAAGGGCCATTTGGATATTTATATCACTCACAGGCCATACAAAAAACATAAAAATCAGTCTGCTGTATTTGGTCAGGTTAATTTGGTGAGGTGCGTGACGTTAGCTGGCATTAATGTTGTGGGCCTCATACGCCCGGCCCGCAGGCTGGACGTTCCCCACCTGTGGTTGGCTCCCCAGACTAGAGAAGGAACGCAAGAGTGGCCCCGAACCGTTGTCTGTACTCCATCTCGCCACCCTCCCTTTCCTTGAGTGTTTGAGATGGAGAAACTAGGTGCCCACCTGTTCCTTTCCAAGCTTTTACTGCATGTCTACTTGTGCCAAAGCCTGCAAAGCTCTGGGCCCACAAGGGGAGCAATCAGACTCAGGTCCCAATCCCACGAGGATCCCAGGTTAACATGGGAAACAGGCAAGTGACCAGGTGATGAGGGACATGTGGGAGACCTTATGAGGAGAGACGCCGAGGACCCAACCTAGCTAGGGGTGGGGTCCAGTCTTCTGGAGCAGGTGTGACCTGAAAGGTGAATAGGTACCTGTGAGGAGTGGGAGACTGGGGTTCCTGGGGTAACGGGTCCTGGAACTGGATCTCCCACCTTCCGCCTCGGGGTCTTGTGGCTGTGCAGCCAGACTGCCTTTGCTGTCTCCCCTCCCCAGCTCCGTCAGGGCTGAAGTGCAGGGTCCCAGCTTGTTGCATTGGGGTCCACCTCTCAGAACGGAAGACCGGGGGACCATGGCTGTACTCTTCACCTTACCTGCCGGGAAGCTCTTTTAACCTTCCTTCCTGCCCTGCTACCTTGCAGAGGGCTGACCCTATGAAGGTGTACCCGCAGCTGAAGGGGAACTTCCCAGAGAACCTGAAGCACCTTAAGAAGACCATGGAGGGCCTGGACTGGAAGGTCAGCTGGCTTCCCTGCACTGGTGCCCTCTCTCCTGATGTCTAGGGCAGGGCCGGGAGGCGGTGAGGTGAAGGGAGGGCCGGGAGGCCATTGTCAGGAAGCTGGAGGAGACTTACCAAACTTAAAAAGCCACCAACACAGAAAAGTGCTTGGAGTTGGGGAACCAACTTGACCAAGACCTGGGGTCTTTAAGTGGGAACCAGGATGCAGCTGGACCCTGGGGTGCAGGGGCCCGGCCTGGCCCTCCATATCTCTGCCCCTGGGGGCAAAGCCGGGCAGGGTTGGAGAGGGCTATTGAGCCTGACCCCCTCTCTCTATCCCCATTAGATCTTTGAGAACTGGATGCATCAGTGGCTCTTGTTTGAAATGAGCAAGAACTCGCTGGAGGAGAAGTTCACTGAAGGTTCACCAAAAGGTACAGGGAGTTGGGAGCCTCGGGTGCTAGGGCTCCTGGAATCTCCCTCAGGGCTCTCCCAGAGCTACAGAAGTTAGAGCCTAGAGCTCTCCCTGATCTGACCAGCCTCTCCCAGCCTCTCAACTCTCACTCTGTCTCTCCTGCCTGTTCTGTCTGGGCTTGGCTGCCCCCCACCCCCATCACGAGGGCCCACAGGTTTCAGAGGTCTGGAGGTGACCTTGCTCGTTCAGGATGGCACTGGGCAAGTGGGCCTGGAGCAGAAACCACCCAAAACATCCCAGGAGTCATGCAATGACTTTCCCTACCCCTCAGGGGTACCTCCCCGAGGTCACACAGATAGCAGATGCCAGACGAGAGTGCCATGGGGTTTTTCCATCTTATGGACAATGTATACCAGGACTGTCAGCTCTAGAGCCTTTACGAATTAATCCTGGTGATATTCTGCTGTGCAGTTTTGGGCATCTCTTCCCTCCGGGCTTGTTTCGGAAGTAGAAAATCCACGGTCCTCCCCAGGTGGACCTCATATTTTTCCACCACAGAAGGCACCTTAGATGCTATCTTGACCAACTCCCAGCTTAAGTTTGAATCCCTTCCACAAACAAACCCCCATCTCTACTTGGAACCCCAGTAACAGAAGCTCAGACTTACCGAGGTGTCCATTGCTTTCCCTACAAACCAGAATATTGGTGCAATTCCAAACTTTAATAGGTGTGGAGTGTTGGAACAAACCATCAAATTTTAGGATGAATTAGCCACACGGCATTCACTTCCTCTTTGATCTTGGATCTTATTGGTCCAGTCCTCAGTATTCCCATCTGGGCAATGGATAGAGCAAGTACAGCCACTTGGGAAGAAGGCATTAGGCCCACAGCAGTGGTGTGTGGATCTCTGTTCTGCTGAGACTGTGGTTCAGAGTCCACTCACTCACTGTCTTCACCATGCCTGTCGCTTCAGTACTGACCAAGTGCCTGGAAGAGGCCAGCCGCATCCCCGCCATCCACCCGGGCAGGTTCAAGCCCCAGTGTGACGAGAACGGCAACTATTTGCCGCTCCAGTGCTATGGGAGCATTGGCTACTGCTGGTGCGTTTTCCCCAACGGCACCGAGGTCCCCCACACCAGAAGCCGTGGGCGCCATAACTGCAGTGGTAAGCAGTGGCCACTGTGCCAGGGAGTGGCAAAGGAGCAGGAAGGACCAGGAGACTGAGGGACAAAGGTCCCTCCTGGCGCACACACGGCCAGGGCACTCAAGGTGTAAACTCCCAAGGCAGCCACTCAGCCACACATCCACCACTTGGTCCATCTGCCTACCTGTGCATCCTTCATTTATTTGTCCATCATTTCTCTCCTTACATCCACGCTCATCTTATTCATTTATCCTTTAATCTTTTCATTGTGATTTTTACCCACCTTGCACTATCCACTTATGCACCCAGAAGTCCTACAGATCCACCCATCTCATCACCCCCTCCCTGGCCTTTCAATTCCGCAACTACACGTCATTGCCGCCATCTGGCAAGCATCCTTCCATGCAGCGCCTGCTCTCCCAGGATAGGCCTGTGGCCAGACTAGGAAGAAATAACCCCTGGCCCCTCAGCAGTGGGTACAGTGGCTGGACTGCAAGTAACAAATGGCCTTGCTGTTCCTTTGCAGAGCCACTGGACATGGAGGATCTGTCGTCCGGGCTGGGCATGACCACGTCCGGGCTGGGCACAACCAAGCAGGATCTTATCCAAAGTAAGTGCCCCCCTAGAGGGGATCCAGTCCCCAGCTGGGCCAATTCCCTCGTGGGTGGGTGCCCAGCACGGCATTACCCTGGTCCATTCTCCAGGAACCTTCCTGAGACATCTGTTTCAGAGGAGGAACAGGGTACCTGAGCACGGGGCACTGGAGAGTGGCGAGTCGACTGTTCTGAGGCCCCAGGATGCTGGGAAGGGGCAGGGACAAGAGGTGACTTCAACCCTAACCTGTTGTTTCTCTCTCCATAGAAATGTGAGAACAGCAACTGAAGACAGCAGCATCCATTCAGCCCTGCAAGGCCACAGCTTCCTTTCTCGTGTGTCCCCCAAGCCTAGCCCCATACTCCTTCCCTTACATGCCCTGCCCCCACCATCTCACACTCTGTACCTCATTCTATGAGACTCTGGCTCCTGGCTGTCCGTCATCCTTGGACACAACAAGTCACATCAGAACAGCACAGACTAACAATACAGCAGGGCCCTGCTGCCCAAGCCCCCATCCACCAACAGGGACACAAGGCCCAAGGAGGTGGACCATGAGCCAGGCTGACCCCCATTTCTGACACCACAGCAATCCCCTCGTGGAGCTCCATGGACACACTGCTGTCCCACCCCTTCGGGCTTTAGCCTAGGCTTTCCAGCCAATGTAACTGGGGGCACAAGCAACCCTCTCCCCTCTCCCAGCAGACCCAGCCTCTCCACAATCCCTCTTTACCTGACAGCCCCGTTCCCTCCACGCAGCAAGCTTGTCATGAGCCCTTAGGAATGTGGTTCCCGTGAAAATAAAGTGTAGTAAGTAGAACACTTTTGGTTCCCGGCTGTTGTATTGGGATCTGGTTTACTGACCTCAAAGAGGTGACTGAAGATCTTGAATCCAGTGGTCTGGGTGGGAGGATGCAGCATGGGAGCCCAAACACAGAGGCCTGTGGGGCCAGGCAGGGCCAAGGTATTGTAGTCTTTGGACACAGACACACTTGGTTTCCATGTTTAACCAGAATACTCTGCTTCCAAAAAGTAGGCTATTGCCCAGAGTTCTCTACGCACAAGCTCCTCTTGGTCCAGCTTGTTTCTCCACACCCCCATTTTCATCACCATCCTGTCAAACGTGATGACAAATGGCAACCAGACAGGGACCCCAGGGTTGTTCCCAGGAGGAAAAAGTCCCCTATCGCTACACTTCTCAATTTTTCAAGAGGCCAAAATCAAAATGTTCAGTGGAGTCTCCATTTCAACGAAGCCCAGCAGGACAGCCCTGTGGCCTCTCTTCTAGACCGACACACTCAAGGGGAGCGCGAAACTATGAAGGCCTTGCCCAAGTGCTCTGGGTTAAGGGAACAGCCAGATGCCAACCTCAGTCTCCAAGACCCTCCAGCTCAGTGCTCAGGCCTCTCGCTGTCTCTAGCAGAAGGCCAAAAACCTTGGAGAAAAACCTCCCCAACTTCAGGTGCCCTGGGCCCCGGGAAGTGGGCCTTTGCATTGCAGGCCATCACCAAGTCCTGCAGGCGTCACCCTGATAAATCTTTTGAGTTCATCATTTCAGAACCTCTGTTACCTGGTCACAAGGGCAATGCAGTCCTAACTGGTTTTCCTGCTCCTCCTGTGCCTGCCACGGCCACCCCCACCAGGCATCTCAAAGACGGCTCAGAAGGCCCCTCTCTTCCACTCCTTGCCTTCAGTGTTTGCCTGGCCGACCCCAGCATCTGGCAACCAACCATGACCACGCGTGAGCTCTCTCTTAGCTTTGATGCCATCTCCTCCAGGAAGCCTTCCCTTCCAGTTCAGTACAAGACACTTAACGGAGGCAAACTGTCCCACTTAGCGCTGCCTCCCAGAGCCTCAGAATATATGCAGCCAAGAACAAATCCTGGGCGATGGTTTGTTCACCTCCACGTGTCAGCCAGAGTCCCTTCCAAGACTGAGGCAAATGCAAAACTCTTGCCCCGGGTACAGTGGACTTTGCACCTTTCCTTCAAGTCTTTTATTTTCTGAGTTCTTACAAAAACAGAAAACAGAAGAAACTGAAAGAAAGACAAACCCTCGGCATTAGCGAGGGACCAGGGACATGGAAGGAGCAGCAGGCTGGGCCTCAGTGAGTCTGCAGGGGCAAGAGGTGGAAGGTCCCGAGGCCTCTGGGCATGATGAGTCTGAAGAGGGAGGGGCAGGTCACTTAGAAAAATATATATGTACTGTACACATCTATAAGAAGTGTCCTGTGTCAGGACGGAAGTCAGGTGCGGGTCAGTGAGTGGAGGTCACGGACTGGCTCACTCCCTCCTCCTCGGACCAATCTCTGCAGGGCTCACGGGCTGGGCCAGCACTAACTCTGGGGCTGGCCGTCGTCTTCTAGGGAGGAAGAGGAAATGAAATATTTAATGCTAACCTACAGGGGCAGAAGCATGGGCTGGGCACCACTTGGCTAAGAAATCCCTGGGGGAAGGAAACACATCTAGATGGAAGATGTCCTGACTTTTCTGCATCATGAAGAATCAAATCAAATCAAATCAAAATCTGGCGTCTGGACGCCGGAGCTGGGCATTAACTAACCAGTCGAACACCTGATGCTGGCCATGTGCCAGGAAGTGGGCTGAGTGCATTTGTTCCAAACTTCATTTACTCCTTGCCACCAGCCAGGCTGGCCCTGCTCAGCGTGGAGCCCTTCACCCTTCACCAGCACCCGGGAGGCACAGGCCCACTGATGGCTTGTCTTGGGCAATCATCTTCTTTCCCACGAGCGAATGCTCTCAAGTTAGTGGTCATAAGGAAAAGGAACTGGACAGCAGCCTTATCCTCATCCACAAAGAGGTGCCATCCCAGTGCCCACCTAAGGCATGCCCAGTGCCCGCCCGCAGGGAGCACCTGGTGCCGCCACTGCCGTAGCTGTTCTTCGCTCCAGCTCCCAGCATCACCCACCGACGCTGGGGGGTGGCATCTTTCTCACCACTCCTTCGCTGGGGCACACCCACCAGGTCCTGCTGGGCTCCCGGGACCACAGCAATGCTGGGGCTGCCCGCCTGCCCCCCCACCAGGGACTGGATGGTCAGCAAGGGTCCCTGGGCCAGGAAGCGTACCTGCCGCCTTGTGTCCCTCAGACAGTCTGCTGGGCTGTCTTCTTCTGTGAGGAGAGAAGTGTGGGGGGCGCTTGTACAGGAAGCGTGTCCCGCCCATGCCACCCCCACCAGGAGGGCACAGGAGCACTCCCTCCTGAGCACCCGGGCCCCTCCCAGAACAGATGCTGGGTGCACACGAATCCCTGGGACGGGGGTGGTGCCCTGCACGCTCTCAGGGAAGGAGCCCAGGACTGTGCAGACAGACGTTCAGCTTTTCTGCACAGCTGAGGCCCAGCGGGTGAGTGAGAGCTTTATCTGTCTGTATGGGTGCCGAGTGCCCCACCCCGCCTTCAGGGGAGCAGACAGCCGAGTGTTTCTGTGGAGGGACCCCAGCCAGCCGGGGGCACCATTTCCTCTCGCTAAACCTGTGACAGACTGTCTCCTGAGGGCCTCCTTCCTTCTCCCACCCCAAGAACATCCTCTGCCTCAGACATGACAGAGAGTAGCTTCCGTAACTTCTGCACACAGACCTGTCCCTCCTCAGGGTGGCTCTTACTAGTGTCACAACTCACACCCCTGCCCCATGGAAAGGACAGGAGCCTGGTCTGGCTCCCAGTCGCCTGCCATGTACAGGATGGGGCTGCTCACACTCCCCGGGGAATTGGGGTGGGTCCCTTTCTGGCCCCAAACCCCTCGTGAACTCACTCTACCTTATTCTTCTTTTTCTTCTGTGGTTCTGGGTCCAGGTCTTTGGTGGAGGCCTTTTTGGCTTTCTTCTTCTTTTCTTTGTCTTTTTTTTCTGAAGGAAGAAAGCAAACTTCCTAAACAGATGTGAAGCTAAGTGTTGGGGTCAAGTCTGGAGACATGCAGGGCAGGTCTCCAGGGATCCTGAAAGACACCCCACTTGAAGTTGTGTTGCCAGCTCTGCCCACATCCTGGGGAGCTGTGAAAAGAGGCCCCAGGCCTGTGACCACTCTCCCTGGGCTTGTCATTTCTTCTCCACCCACGGACCACCAGGAGTATTACTATTCTTCTTAAAAAAAAAAGTTTTTTTTCCTTTATTGATGTTAGAGAGAGGAAGGAAGAGGGAGAGATAGAAACATCGATGAGAGAGAACAGACTGGCCACTTCCTGCATGCCCCCGACTGGGGATCTGGCCCACAACCTGGGTATGTGTCCTGACCGGGAATCAAACTGGCGATCTCTTGGTGCCTGGGTCGACACTCAACCACTGAGCCACGCAGGCCGGGCTACTATTTTTCTTTAACTCACTTCTTTTTTTTTTTTTATCCTCACCCGAGGACATTTTTCCATTTTTTGTACAGATAGAGTGGGAGGGAGAGAGAAGAAGGGAGAGAGAGAAACATCGACGTGAAAGGGACACATCGAGTGGCTGCCACCCGCAAGACCCAACCAGGGCCGGGGACAAACTGCAACCGAAGTACGTGCCCTTAGCGGAAACCGAACCCGGGTCTCTCCGGACCGCAGGCCGACGCTCTAACCGCTGAGCCAAACTGACCAGGGCTTTAACTCACTTCTTGTACACATTTATTCAAGACGCTTTCTCAGCTAAAGTGGGAATGAAGTGCCACCCGCACGGGGCTTGGTGAGGGCAGCTTCTCGTCTGAGGGGAGCTGCTGCTAGCAGCACAGACCCCCGAGGAGCCTGAAGCACTGTGAGGAGCAGGCCGTGCCCTGAAGCTCAGCTGTCCTGGGGTTGCTCTGGCTTTGTCAATAGCTGCCTCCATGACCCCAACCGCCTCTCAGCCTCTCCCTTCTGTGCGGTGGCTGCCAGCCCTCAGCACTGGGCTGGGGAAGCCCACTCCGGGCTGTGGACCATCACTTACTTTTGTCAGATTTTTTTTTCTCCTTCTTCTTTGGGTTGGCTTGGCCTCCACCCTCAACCTGCACCCTCTCTGGCTCCCCTTCTGGCCTGTCCTCGGCCCCTCGGGAGCCAGGAGCCTCCTTCTTGCTGTCACCATTTGCCGTGTCCCTCTTAGATTTCCCCTTGGTAGTCCTGGGGGCCTTTCCTGAGGAAACGGCACCCTCCCCGCCTTCCCCGGCCGCCAGCTGCTGCTGCTTCTTCTTCTTCTTCTTGCCCTTGGGGGCCCTGGCAGCCGCCTGGTCTCCGGACAGCTTCCGCTTGCGGCTCTTCTTGCGGCTCTCCTTGGCGGCGTCCGCGGCCTTCCTCCTCTCCTGCTCCAGCAGCTCCGTCAGGACCTTCACCACCGAGGCCTGGACCTGGGCCTCGCTCAGGGGCCAGGGCTCGCTCAGGAGGCGCCGGGTGATGTCGCTCTGCAGTGCCAGTGTTGAGGCCTGGGGGCTCTCGGTCCCCTTCCCGAGCTTCTGCGGTGTGGGGCTGGCCTCTCTTCTGCCTGCAGAGAGAGGACTGTGACGTGGGTCTGCGAGACTGGGAAACAGACCTCTCATGGTACAAGAGCTGTGGGGCCCAAGGACAGGACTGACCTCCGAGAGCAGTCACTCTGCCCCCACCAGTCACCTAGCTCACACCGTCCACCAGCTGGAGCCCTCTTCTGTCTCCTCACACTAAAATCTCAAGTTCGGGCTGGGGATGGGACAGGATCCAGAAAGCGAAGGGAGGGCCTGCCTATCCACACGGAGAGGTCGGACAGGAGGGAGACGGTATGTCCCAGTCAGGAGTCCAGGGCCGGGGCAGGAGGCCTGGCTTCCGGTCTGCCTACCACTAACTTGCGACGTGACCTGCTCCTCCCTTGGCCCGTTTCCCTGTTTGCAAGATGAGGGGTTAGATGAACAGCGAGGTCCCGTTCTACACTGTAGATTCACAGAAACGCGACGGCTGTGCACCTGCTCAACTCATCCCCTCTACACCCAGGCTGCGGGCAGCTCGGGGGGACGGTGCGGCGCACACGCGGCAGCTGACGGAGCAGGCTCACCGCCTGCCAGGGGACTTCTGGAGCAGCCTTTGTTTAGAATTTTCCACGCCTCTGCTCTCCTTTGATAACTGTGCTGACTACACGTGTGAAAGTAAAAACCTCCACAGCCCCCCCTGAAATGTCGGCCTGTCGCCCCCGCCTGAGAGAATGCTGGGGAAGCAAGTGAGCAAAGGCTGCTTGCTGACCCGGCACCGGGCAGGCTGCAGCTAAAAGCCAGGACGGACTGGCAGGCTCCGGCCTCACAGCATAGCAGCCCCGCGCAGGCCCTGAAAGGCGCTCGGAGGCGGGTGCTCCCTGCGGCGTGCAGTGGGCCCTGGTGGGGTGAAGCTCTGGCTGCAGAGCGTGTGCACAGCAACGGTGCGCAGGGAGGCCGGGCAGAGTGGCCCAGGACAGAAAGGTCCAATCTAGTCCTCTGGTGCTTAGTGAGGGCAGTCGGCCCTGGCAACCTCTTTCCCCGAAGCCCATTTCTTGGCTTCCTGTTTACAAACACCCATAACACCAAGGCTGGGGAACCCCTAGGGCTGTCCCAGGTGTGCCCATCTGAGGTAACTGTCCCTCGGCTCTGGTGGTCAGTGGTGGCATGTGACTATTTTCTATGGGAGCCACACCTTGACGCTGACTGGAGCCATCAGTCCCAGCCCTGTGTGGCCCAGAGTGGCAGGGGCTCGTCTGAGGCTTTAACGAGTCAGTCCATCGCCTGGGGTCTGCACCACGTGCAGAGACATCTCCAAACGTGGCTCCTGCCTTTCATCTGTGCTCACAGACCCCCTAGACCCCACACCATGAGCCCACTGTCAGAGAGAAGTCAACAGGGTCTGCTAGAGGCAGCCAAGTGCTAGACTCCACAAGTCAAGGGGCACCAGCTGCCCCAGACCCCAGGAGCCAGGCACCTGGGAGTGGGCACCCTGCACTTTGATGAGCATCTGCAGGCCTGACGCAGGGGTACCAGGCCTCACTTAGAGGCCCTGGTGACAGGATCACGAGATGGCACTGCTTCTGAGGGAGGGAGAGGAGGAGGCCATGCCGTGTCCCTGTGTCCGGCTGCATCCTTCCCATGGTCTGAACTCACCTGTTTTAGGGGTGGTGGTGCCTGCTGCTTGTTGGGGCTCCACTGCCCGCTTGCCGTCCAGGGCATCTTTGGTGGCCGGAGCAGAGGAAACCGAGCGGTTGGCGTCTGGCTTGGGAGTGGCCTTTGCAGCCTGGGAATTGGCTGCAGTCAGCCCAGGGGGCACATAACCTGAGAGGAGAGACTGAAGAAGCCCAGTGTGAAAGAGGCCGGCCCCCCGCCCTGGCCCAGAGTGCATGGCCTGCTGGGAAGGAACCAGCCCAGGTACCCCTAGGACAGGGTCAGCCTGTGGGGACATCAGCCCTCTGTGTACCTCCTGTACTATTCTAATGAATGCGTATTTTATTTTCATTCTTTTTGTTAATCCTCACCCGAGGATATTTTTCCATTGATTTCTAGAGAGTGGAAGGGAGGGAAGAACACAGATTGGTTGCCTCCCACAAGACCCCAACTAGGGTAGGGGGATTGAACCCACAACCCAGGTATGTGCCCGTGACTGGTAATCAAACCTGTGACCCATCGGTCCATAGGCCGATGCTCCAGGGCTAATTAGTATATTTCAGACAGGCACATTTAGAAAGGAAAATTATTATTCCTAATGCAAATGGAAAATCACTAGCGCTTGCCACGTGCGAATGATAACCTTAAAAAAAAAAACCCCATCTGTTAAAGAATGTTTTTATCTGGGAAGCACCTGACGTCAAGGTGCACCCTTTCCACAGGCCCCAAGAGTAAGCCCTCCTGGCTTCCTGCTGAAATGGGGCCTCAGGGGAGACAGCCTGGCTCCAGACAGGACCTTGCTCAAGGTCCCTGGGGAGAGGGGCCCAGGCCTCTGACCTGGGGCTCCTGGCCTGGGACTCTGAGGTTGCCAGTCCTCCCTTGCTGTTACCTGGGAAGGCGCTACCACCTCATCCTCGCTGGACTCCGCTGTGGTCTCCTCCACCAAGGTCTCACTCCTGGAGGGTGCTGGACCTACTGGACGAGCGCAGGTTTCCTGTTGGTCCCTGGTACCCCTTGCCAGTGGGGCAGGGCAGAGCCCTTTAGGAGGGCCCCCGGGATGGCCGGGTCCCTTGGTATGCACCTCACCCTCCCACCATGGTCAGAGTATTCCAGGCGAGACACCTGGATGCCTACACCTTCCGTCCTAACCGCTAAGACCACTCACACGGCTCTGCTTTGCTGGGGTGGGGCTGGGGTGGCCTGGGACTAGGGTGGGGTCAGTTATGGGAACCTGATTCTAAAAAGTCGGGAGTGGTCAAGCAGCAGCATCAAAGGGTCTTTGGAGAGTTTAGACCAACTTCCTCAAGGGGTTGTACAGATGGGGAAACTGAGGCCCAGTGTGAGATGACTGGGCTGAGGTGGCAGAACAAGTAGAGATACAGAGCAGAGGCCAGATCCCAGGGCTCCCCCAGGCTACCTCTCCCCTCCTCCAGGCCCACCCAGCCTTTCCCTCCCGAGACGCTCACCCAGCCTGTGGGCCAAGGGGGCCACCTGGGGCCTCTCAGCATCCTCCCGGCTCCCCGAAGAGCTGCCGCTGCTGTCGCTGTCCTCTGAGGTCCCTGAGGCCTTGGCTCTGGGGCGTCCCAAGGGAGGGGCTGTGGCCTGCTGGACTGCAGGAACCTTGGGCTTTCTGAGCTTGCTGCTCACTCTGGCTTGCACAGGGGTGCTCTGGGGACTCACCACAGGGAGTGTCCCCTGAGCACTGTCGATCTAATGTGGTGGAGGAGAAAGTGGAAGGAAACGTTAGGGGAAATTAGGTCTGATGCTTCATGAACAGCTCAGTCTAGGGCCAGGCGCTGCTGGCTGCTCTGCACAGGCCTCATCCAACCCTCCCACAGCTCCCTGAGGCAGGCGGGGCCGGCGAAGTGAGCGCACACGTGTGCTCAGGTGCAGGGCAGTGCTGGGCCTCCCTTCTACCCGCTGTGGTCTTTGATCACTGTTCCCTCCAGGGTGCCTAGACCCCTGGGGCTCCCCAGCTCACCCCACTTGAAGATGGGATTCTGGCAGCAGGAGGCTGGGCCTCACTGGCTTTCTGGGCAAGGACCTTCAGGGCAGCCTGGGTCAGCGGGAGGTTAGCCAGGTTCCTCTTTGTCACCTGTGGACAGCCAAAGGCAGCCCTGAGCCTCCTGGGTTCTCAGGTGTCATCTCTGCCACACCCTGGCCAGATCCCATCTTGCTGGGGTGGGAGGGGACCTGTATCTGCAAGGGGCCATATCACCCTCTGGGCAGGAAATGCTTTAGTTTATAAGCTAATTACATCATTCTCAGAGGGCCCACAAACACTCCCAGCCCCCACATTCAATCAGAGCCTCCACCAGGGACGAGTCTCTAGCTTGGTGGCTGCAACAGCCTCCCCAACAGTCTCCCTCATGCCATTCCTGCTTCCCACACCCACCAGCAATTAGGGAGAGGAGCCGAGACAAGGACTGGGTGTGACTCCACGCAAACCTCCTGGCTCCCAAATGCCCTCGGGTGGCCACGCGGCCCTCACCCACCCTACTTTCTCCAGCTCTGCCCCCCATGCACTGTCCCAGGGGGTCCCTACCCCTGGGTTTGTCTGCCTGGAGTGCACCCCAGCCTGCTGGCCTGGCTGCTGCTCCTGCTCCACATCACCTCCTCGGGGAGGCCACCCCTGCCGTCCTCTCGAAAGCAGCTCACCCCATTATCCTCCAGTTAATGTTGTTTCCTTCAAAGCACCCATCAGTCTGTGAGCACTTTACCTCCTGGTTCCCTTCTTTAGTGGCTGCCACCCCCCAGAGGCAGGGATCTGTCTTGTTCCTGCTGTATCCCCAGTGCCTGACACGGACAGGTGCTCAGTGCCATCTGCTGCCCCAAAGGCTGAACAGATGCAGTGAGCAGAGCCCAGATACCCGCCCAGCTGTGATGAGCCCTTCTGAGCTGGGGTGCCCAATGCCTGCTCCAGCCTCCCCAGCTCTCATGTCCTCTCGGGAAGGAGGGGAGGAAACGGGCAAACAAATGGGTATGGCTGGTCCTGCCTAACCATCAGAACATGAGCCATTAACTCCACCTGCCCAGGTTTTAGATTCAGGCAAGGACCCAACAAAACGCACTGAAAATGGTGAGGCGACTAGTATGAACACTAAAAAAAGGGCAACTTTTAGTCACGGCATCTCAAAACCTGGAGAAAAAACCTCAAACAAAGCAAAGGCCTAACCGTGCTGGAAAAGCTGACTAGGCTCATGGGGTGGCTGTGCTCTGCCTGGAGCCACGGTCTGGTCACCCTTCCTGAGCACTCGGGGAACCACGAGCTCGGATCGAATGCAGCCAGAGGACTGGAACGCGCTGGCTTTGAGGATGGCCTCTTCTGGGGTGGGGGTGGGGTGAGAGCGACCGCAGCTCTACCAGTGGCACATGTGGGTCCGTTGGGGAGGGCAGGGAGCCCCCTTACTCCTTGGCCCGCACAGCCCTCCTGCCCACCACATACCTGAGTGGTGGGTGCCTCCTGTTTCTTGCCTTTCGTCACCCGACTGGACACCTCACTGCTGTTGGCCCCAATGCCAGCTCCAAGGGCTGTCCTAGGATGGGCCGCGGGCACAGTCACCACGTTGGTTCTAATGGCTGAAACGGAGCAGGATGGGGTGCACGTCATGACACAGAAGCCCCATCAGCCCTTCCTGAGGACCTGGTGCAGTGCTCAGGGCTTAGGCGACAGAAGCCTGTGTAATGCCCTCCCCAGGACTTCCAAGCAGGAGTGCCACGATCTCCACATTACAAGGCTCTGGGAGGTCACATGGCCAGTGGGGCAGTGACCCTGGCTTTCTCCTCAGTCCCTCCCCACACTCCATTTCTCCATGTTCCCCCTCAGTTGGCTGAATGAGGCTCTCTGTGTAGTGAACACAGTCTCATGAGAATCACCGCAGTTGTCTGCAAGAGCTCAGGTACATGATACTCACTGTAGCATTACGTACAAGAGCCCAACGGCCCAACCAAAACACTCAGCCTCCCCCAATGTGGCAGTGGCTAAATAAATGACGGTATGCCCACACAAACGACTGCTTAGTAGCCAGCAGAAACCATGCTGTAAATGTGTAATGTCACAATATTACTGAGTAAAGATTACCGGGCATATACAGCATGGTCTCACTACAAACACACAGGTACGGTTTAGAATTTTATAACATGAACAGCTGTAAAATGTTAACAGTAACGATTCCAGGCAGTAGGATTATAGATAATGTTTTTTCTTTTGTGCTACTCTGCATTTCTTAATTAGCCTACCAAAATTGGGTATTAATATCCTCATTAAAAAGTGTCATAAAGCCTGGCTGGTGTGGCTCAGTGGTTGAGCGTCGACCCATGCATCAAGAGGTCGCCAGTTCAATTCCCGGTCAGGGTATATGCCCAAGTAGTGGGCCCGATCCCAGTGAGGGGTATGCAGGAGGCAGCCAATCAATATTCTCTCTCATTGATGTTTCTATTTTTCTCTCCCTCTCCATTCCTCTCTCTAAATTCAATAAAGAAAAAAAAAATCCCAGATGCAGTCCTGTCTCCCACTGATAGATGGAATCCTTCCCTGCAATGTCTGTTCAGGGATTAACTAGTCCCCTTTTCATGCCACCAGGAGTGGGAGGCTCACTACCCCTCGGAGCCCTCTCTGTGTTCAGGCAGTCAGTTTCTACAAAGCTCTTCCTTAGACTATGTAGCAACCTGGTCCCTGTGGGGTGTAGCCTCTGGTCTGGGTTCTAGCCTTTGCAGCTCACAGAGAAGCCCTGGCAAACATTTCTTCTGAGCCAGCCCCTCAAAGAGGTGAAGCAGGGCAGTTCCCAGAGGCCTTGCCCTAAGCACCTCCTGACCAACAACTTGCATTGTGACCCTGCCGGCATCCTCTCCCCTCTGGGCGTGTGTGGGCAACCCCTCCCAGCTGAGCCTAACAGTTGCAGCAGGAGATCCAGCCCCTTGTGCTGGGCCCATGCTCACCAGGAGTCAAGCACTGCGTAGCAGGGATCACATCCTCATCCTCGCTCTCTGAGGAGGAGCTCCTGGCTGTGATCTCCGAGGCCCGGGCCTTCCTCGGGGCGCTTGCAGCCTGGGCTGGCACAGGGGTAGCAGCCTGACCAGCTGGACTACGATTAGGGTCGACAAAAATCAGAGGGGTTTTAATCACCTTGAAAAACAAAAACAAAACACCCCCCCAGTGATTAAAGGGTGGGCCAGGGGGAGGGAAAGACGGGGCAGGGAAGGGTTTTTTAAGGCGGAGGGGTCCCTGAGAGCTCAGGACAGCTGAACAGAAACCATTCCAGCGGCCCAGGGTACTCTCAGCTCACTCTCAGCCCACGCACCTGCTAAGACCCAGCACAGCACCTCACAGCTCACAGGAGCCCACCTAACCCTCACACAAACCGAGGATGGCAGTATTAGCTCCATCACACAGATGGAGAAACCACAAGTCCAGAGAGAGGAAGAGAGTTGCCCAAGGTCACAGCTGACTTCAGAGAGAGATGCCTGCTGGTCATATTATACATCCATCCGGGGAGTTGTTCAGTCTCCTGTCCCCACCCCAGACTCTGATGCAGCCCACTGAGATGTGGGCCAGGAAGCAGTAACCCAGCTCCATCAACCCAGTGGCTTCAACAAATAAACTGCATGGGGAGAAACCAACAGGGTAACGCTGAGGACCCACAGCAGTGTGTGCCCCTTATTGGGACACATGGGAAGAAAACATCAGTCACAAGACAATGTGGGAAATGGGGACACCAACTGGGCGGGTCAATTTTTTTAGGTGTGATATTATACTGTGGTTGTGCTAGAAAAAAAAAAAAGTAACCAACTGAGTGGAAGGTTTGGATAAAATGGGCCTGGGCCTGGGTTCAGAACTGCGGAGGCTGGGAGGGCACACGGGGTTCTGCATGTTGGTCTGTCTGTGGGTGTGCTTGAAATGCTCCAGTAAGACATTCAGAGGAAACAAAAAGCGGCAGCTGCACCCTGGCGAATGTGACCACTGCACTCGCTACACACGCAGCCACGAGCGAGTGGATGGGGAGTCTGCTTCCCATCCCCAAGGTCAGGTCTGGCCTGAGTTCTGCTCACTCTCTGGCCAGTGGTGAAGACGAAGGGTAGCAGGAGAGGCCTGCCGAGGTCACAGTCCGGGACCCCGGTCTCCTCCACACCCCCACCCTGCCCACCTTCCCCAGCTGACTCCACACCTCACCCCCAGGGTGCTGTGGGAGAGGAAAGTGAAAAGTAAAGCAGGAAGATGCCGCCTGAGGGTGGAAGCTCTGCTGGGCTCGGGCCCTTCCTACCCCTGCCAACAGCCTCCCCCACGGCTGCTCTGATCTGCCACTTCCAGAGCCTTCCTGCCCATGTGATGAAAGAGAGAAGGATGGAAAGTGGGAGAAGGCTTACAGCTGAGGGAGGGGAATCTATATATACACGAGAAGACAGAAGAACAGATTGTTGGGGATGAAGAGAGGCAACGAACCCTCCAAGGCAAACAATAGCGTCTGGGATGTTAAAAGCTGCCGCCTCCACATCCACCTGCCCACACCACCTGCCCACGCCACCTGCCCCAGCCTCTGGGCTTCAGGGGGTGCAGGGGCACAAGGGGACCACACTGAGACCTGCTTCTGATCCCACCTCTGCCATGGTCAAGTCCATGAGCTTTGTGCCTCAATTTCCCATCTGTTGAAAGGGCTGTTAATAACTTCTGACTGTGCCTCCATGTAGACACTAGGCAGTAGGACCCAGAGGGAACACTGCAGCATTTAATGTCTGCAGGACCAAACCTGGGGCAGTGCTCACCAACTCGTGTTGAGGCTGAGCTCATCACAACCATGCCCTCATTCCAGTCTTGGGCACAGTGAGGAGAGCTGAGCAGCCCTGGGCAAGGGACACAGCCGTGAAGTCACCCAAGGTGGCAGAGCTACACAGGGCAGCTCTTCTCAAAACTGTCGGGGGCTGGCTAACAGATCCGGGGCCAGGTCTATCCCAGGGGACTGAGAAATCCTCGCTGGATGGAGCCTCCACGGCTCACAAGCCCCAGGGGGTCTCACTCAGGGGCCAAGACTGCGGCTGAAAGAGAGAGCGAGTGGCCTCACACAGGGTGACCTGGAAAATGGTGCAAGAGCCAGGACTGGCAGTTCTTCGGGGACCAGACAGGAGCTCCTTCCAAGACCAACCATCTAAGCCTCTAATTTAACACCCTAATTTGGTTTCTTTCAGGTAGTCTTTTTCTCTCTGGTCAATCTGAAACGTTGAGGGCAGGGCTTATGTCTTCTAAATTTGATAGCCAGGCAAAGCCCTGACAGACCCTGGCCTGGGGTTAATATCAGCACAATGGGCTGAGCCACAGACCACTCCCTGAAGTCTCTCTCAAAGCAAGAGGATGGGCCCCATCCCCTACCGATGGGGATACTGAGGCATGGTGAGGAGGCCTAGAAAAGGAGCCACAATCTCTTCTCTACCTCCCAGCCTGGGGCTCTGCCCACCACCCTGGCATCAATCCCTTCCCCCCACCGATGGGCTGATATAAAACAAAAACAGCAAAACTTGTCCATAGAGAAATGCTTGATAAAAGCATAACAGCGGTAATAATCATAATTAGCGAGCTGGGGATTAAGGAGCTAAAAATCCCCCAGTTCGGAGGAGGCAGCAGCTTCCCAGGCTGTGCCTTTCCCCTCAAACTCTCCTGGGGAGGAATACACAAACGGCTGACTTTTTCCCTTCTTTCTAAGCAGGGACTCCAGAATCTTCAGGACTAACATACCAATTAAATGTTGCAGTTCAAGCGTGATGTTCATTTTAATTGTGTTAGTCCGCCCCTGCAGAGAGGGCAAAGTGGCCCCCTCCCTCCCAGCTGTTTACAGCCTCAAGGAGGCAGCCTCCTAAAGACTCCGGAGCAGGGGGCAGTGCCCAGCCCGCTCTCCTCCTTTCCTGAAGATGGGGTGTCGCGGCAGGGCCAGGGAGGGGCCAGAGCGGGGATGGCCTGGGTTCCAGCACGGGCTCTGTCCATGTGTTGTCAGCCACGCCACACTGGGGCAGTTCCCTTGCCTTCTCTGAGCCTCATTCCTCCCTCCTTACAATGGGAATAATGGAAGGACCTATCCTGTCCACAGGCTTGTTGTGGGGCCTAAACAGAACAGTGCAAGTCTGTGGCTTAGAAAGAGCCCGGCACACAGGAAGCGACTGGCAATATTAGCTGCAGTTGTTTGCTGTTATTTTTGTGATCTGGCCTACTAAGAGAAAGGCAGTGAGCAGCCCACCACTGGGCGTGCCAGCAGCACCTGACTTTCCTGATGGGTTGGTTAGCATGTGGTATGACATGTAAGGGCAGATGGACAGAGACCCTATTGGACTGGGCATTGCAGAACCCCAGCACCTCTCAGGGGCCTGGCAGAAACGTCCGGAGCTGGGGGCTAGAGGAGGACAAAGCGCAGTGCTACATGCCAGAGGCCTGGGCTTCGCGCAGAAACCTGGAAACCAGCCCAGAGGGTTTGGGCCTCTGAGTTGGGGAGACGGGGGCTTCGGCCTGCCCTCGGGGCATAACCTGAGAAGGATGACCAGAGCAGCAGAGCATGCGAAGATGGGCCACCGGTGCCCGAGCAGCTCTCGGGCCAGCCCAGGGGATTCTAACGAGCCCTGTAGAGGAATCCCAGTCCCAGTAGGAAGCAGGGCTACGCAGGGAGCCCGAGGCCCAGCGTTTGCCCTTCCTCAGCTTCTCATGGGTCACGGGAATTTAAGGAAACCACTGTAACTCACAGGGCCTTGACTCCTGATATCAAACAGGCGACACCGCCCGCCCTCCTGCAGGAACAGGTACTTGCTCTCGGGCAGTGTGCCGTGGACCTGTGCCAGTGCGCAGACGCTGGAGGAGGGCGCTGTCCTCCCCTTCACAGCCCAGCCGCCAGCCCCAGAACGGCGAGGTGCGCCCAGCACCACGGACTGGTGGTGGGAGACCGTCTCTAACCCTGCCCTGTCTGGCTCTGAAGCCTGGATGTCGGGGACACTCTGCGGCCTACCTCACAGGGCTATTGTGAAGATGAATGTGTCAAAATAGAGAGAAAAGCTCTGGAGACTGTGAGCTGCTGTTTAAATGGGGAAGCTCTGCCCTCGACCCACAGACCTGCCAGCCCAGCTCTGAGCCTGCAGTGTCCTCAGAAAGGCTGGGCCTACCTGGCTCGCCGGCAGCTCCTCGTCACTGCTCTCCGAGGACCCCTTGGCATTCTTCTCCGGGGTGGCTGGGGCCAGTGCCTTGCTTTTGACAGTTTTGGAGTTACTCTCCTTCTGACGGGACAAGCACATAGTTGGGGAGGGAAGGCATTAGCTGAGGGGGAGCACAACCGACGGACCAAGAAACCACGGCTAGTAGCACTGACCCAGGAAAGGCAGCGTGGCCCCTCCCTACATGCACACGGCTGGGAGTGCGGGGTCGAGGGGGAGGATGGGACAGATGAATGGACACAGGGGCTGCTGGCCCAGAATGGCCCACAGCCACCGGAAACACAGGCTTCACTCTTATCCTCCTGCCAGAGCTGACTGAACTTACAAAGGATGTATAACTAAGACACTGCTAAAACCTTAGGACTAAGTGCCGTTGGCCGGGCATCTGAACAAGAGATGACAGCAGCCTGGGACAAGGTTGCAGGAGTGAGCCAGTGGCCCCAGCACAGTTCACACGAGGCTGTAACACTCCCAGCTAAAAGCAGGAGCTGGAGCTGGCTGAGTGTTCCAATAGCTGCCACCCCCTTCTGCCAGGCCAGGCATAAATGAGTGGGGCAGGCTGGGCAGAATCTGCAGTCAGGGGGCCTGAGGAGAGGAGAGGAGAGCAGTGAGGAGCAGGGCCTGGTGATCGGTCAGGGGAGCCCAGGGCGGAGGCAGAGGACAGCTCCATGCTTTCTAGCTGCCGTGAAGGCCTCGGCGTTCGTACTCCGCCTAGCCAGCAAAGGGAGGCCTAGGTTTCCAATTTCTCAAGAGAAGCCAGAAAATCCTGATTTGTACGTGTCATTTCCCCAGTCTTTATTTATTTATTTTGTGGTATGTGCCCCTAGCGGGAACCAAACCTGGGACTTTCTGGTCCGAAGCTCAACCACTGAGCCAAACTGGCCAGGGCTGTTTTATTCCGTCTTTAAAACGCATACTGCAACTGCCATGCTGGTGTCTTCCTTGCTACCAGAACCTCAGCTGTTCCAGTGGCCCCCGCCCTAGGCTTGGCCCCTTCTCCCAGCCAAACATGGGAACTGCAGGCCCTTCATCAGTGAGTGGCTTCGGGAGGGAGGAGGGTGAAGGGAGCCTTAGATCTGGCTAAGATGAGATGAAGTCGGCTGGGGGGTTTCCTAGCTCTTTAGGAGAAGCTGCAGCCCTGCTGTGACAATGAGGCAGGTAAAGCAGAGCTGGAAGAAGCCTGGGTCTCCAGTAATGCTGAGGTGAAGGAACCACCTGCACAGCAGCCTTACCCTGGGGACTTGGTATACCACGAGCTAACCAATCCTCTTACTACCTAAGCTCTTGTGAATTAGGTTTTCCTTTACAGATTAGGACATCCTTACAGATATAGCAACTCATTTAAAACTTACAAAGAAAAAAAAAAAAAAAAAAAGCTGCACAAGCCAAAATGCCCTTGTCTTAGGCTGGCAACTAGTTCTCCATAAATGTTACTGGTAACAACTAGAAGTGACTGTTGCCTGGCGGATGGCCTTTGCTGACCTCGACTGATGTCATGTCCCCTCCCCTTGGCACACACACTGCACACTTCCCCCAAGTGCCTGTCTCCACCTTGTCTGATGGGCTCCAGGTCTCCCTTCCAAGCTCAGCTCAGTCGCCTCCTCTTCTGGCCTCTCAGAGACCAATTCTCCCAGCTCCATCAGACAGAGCACTACCAGAATCCTCTCCCAAACTCTACTCACCTCATCTTGATCTACAGCAGCAGTTCTCAACCTGTGGGTTGCGACCCCTTAGGGGGTCTAACAACCCATTCACAGGGGTCACCTAGGACCATCGGAAAACACATATTTCCAGTAGCAAAATTAGTTATGAAGTAGCAACAAAAATAATTTTATGGTTGGGAGTCACCACAACATGAGGAACTGTATTAAAGGGTCGCGGCATCAGGAAGGTTGAGAACCACTGCTCTACAGACTATGAGCTCCTTGAGGGCAGGGCCAGCATTTCTGGTCCCTTTATCTCTATCAGCAGGGCAGAAGGCTCAGCAGTTGGCCTGATGCACCGACACGGAGGTTAGCGCCAGGATCATTTCACAGCTTCCTGGGGCTTGTTTTACTCACAAAGAAAACAAGTCTAAGACAGATGGAGCTCAGCCTAGCACAGGGATTTTCCAGTTTTCCTTAAGAAGTGGAAGATCGAGCTACACAGAGGGTACATTTCTACAAGGTCACAACTGGCTGGAGCTAACAGGGATGGTCTCTCAGATGGGGCAAGGGCTCTGTAGTTTGTCGCAGTTGTCACCACTCCCTCCTGTCTCTCCTGACACCAAGGCTCAATGCCAGTTGCCACCTATCACCTCTACCAGGCCTGTGTCATTCATTTCCATTACACAGCTGAGCCCTGTAAGTCCTGGAGTTTGTCACCATGAACTTCGGCAGGACACAGCCACCCCTGCTGCCTTCTGCAGGCAGCCAGGGCAAATCACCCAAATAAAAGCTGTTTTTTCACTCCTTCTCCCCCCCTCCCCCACACACACCCCAGGCTTCACACTAAGCTACACGAGCTCTCCCTGGGGTTGACACGAGGCCTTAGGCACAGGAAAGGGACGTGACTTCCTCTAGCTCCCCAGGGCCTTGTGGTACCTGTACCATCACCCAAACCTCCCATAACTCTCTGACTGTGACATCGTTGGATTCTTGGCCTCATGTGCCTTGGTGGGAGTTTCTGGCCTAGCCTTCCATGGGGCCGGTGTCCACTCAAACTACAGAGGCCTTGGTAGATATGGGAGCTTAGGCCTCCTTTCATCAGGAGGCCTTGGTTTGGCCTCCTGCTGAAGTTTTATAGCAGGTTTCACCGAAAGAGATGTGGAAGACATCCTGGTGGAGAACCTTAATCTGGTCTTCCCTCCCCACCTGGCCCTCGGTGGCCTGGCACCGTAGCTGCTTCCTCATGAGGTCTCACCTGAGCTGGGGTCACAGCTCCTGGTGCCTCCCCATCACCGTCCGACTCCTCCTCGCTGCTGCTCTCCGAGTCCTCCTCCCTCTTCTTAGCCTGGGTGGCTGTGGGTCCTGTCTTCCCAGGGGGTGGCGGGGCAGTCCCCTTCCTGGGGGACCCCTTGGTGGGGGCCAAGGCAGTTCGAGCCTGGGTGGTCTTCCTGGGCTTTGCCTGGAGTGGCAGAAACAGAATCAGGGGAGGGAACGCAGAGGGACAGAGATGAACGGGCATATGCGGTTGTGCGGTAGGGACTCCTGATGGGGAGGCACAGGGCTGCTTCTGCCCTCCGGGCCTCACCGGAGGGGGAGCCTTCTCCTCGCTGTCCGTCTCTTCCTCACTGCTCTCCGAGCTGTCCTCGACTGGCCCGGAGGCCACTGCCTTCCCCACAGCTGGCACAGACACCTGGCCCTGCACCGAGACAGCGGGACTCTGCGGGGTTCTCGCCAACAGCTTTACCTGAATTGCACGGAGGTAACAGTGTTGAGGGAAGAAGTGAGCAGCACAGCTCTTTCCAGGTTAAACCCACCCACGGTGTGACGGTGGGAGGCTGCTCCTGCTTGGGCAAGGCCCTGGTCCAGGCTGGGGCCACTGCTTAGTTCTTTTCTCTGCTCTACCCCCAGCTTTTCCTGGGGCTTCTGGTCCCACTTGCCTTGGCCGGGGACCCCTGTTTAACTTGAACAGCTGCAGTGACCACTTTCCTGGGAGCGGATGTTACCCCTTTGGCTGAAGCCACTCTGGTGGAAGCGGGGTTGGTACTGGTCCGAGGGGTTTTCACTGAGGCCTTCACCTGGGAAAACAAAGAGGGAGCTATGGAGATGCAGCAGAGCAGTCAGCCAAGAACACGGACTCTGGAGTCAGATGTCTGAGTTTGACTCTGGTACCTCCCTTTCGTAGCTGTGTGAACCTGGGCAAGCCATTTGACCTCACTGGGCCTCAGCTTCCACCTCTGTAAAATAGGGTTATCATGAGGACTAAGGGAGAGTCACAGTATGGAACAGTTCCTGGTATGTAATAAGCACTGAAACTCATTACTGTGAGCACTTTTCTTAGCCAATCACAAGCTCACCCAGAGCAAAGGAGTTTTCTAGGCTCTTTCAGTGAGCTGGCCATGTGATTAAGTTCTAGCTAATGGAATAGAAGTTGAGCACACATTCCATTTTCTTACACATGCAGGGAACATGTGTCTTCTCCCTTCTGGCTGGCTGGGATGCTGAAGTAGTAGCTAGAGCTCAAGCAGCCAACTTGGTCTATGAGGTGGGAGCCAGGCATGAGGATGGCAGAACGAGACAGAAAAACCATTGTTGTTTGAAGTCTTCTTTAGCTTAACCTAATGTTAATTGACTCTAGGGAATCCCCAAAATGCCTGCCAGGGTCCCCGGCAAATACTGACTTAGAGAGATGAGAGAAATACAGTGAAATCCTTGACAGAGCATGAAAGCAAGCCCTGCTCATATGAAACAGAGTGAGCGATTTGGCAGTATCTCAAGGCCCCTGCCTCTGTCAGAGATGTCATCTGATCAGTGCCAGAAGAAATCCTCCACACCCCAGATTCCCTCATCCACATGAGAACAAATAAAATTAAGTCAGAACTTAAAGAAAAACAATCCCCTAAAGTACAGACTCTGTATGTCTTAAGGCCAAGGTGCTCGGCACAGCACTCGAATCATCCACAGAGGGGTAATGTCTCTTACGTAGACAAAACAAAAGGCACAAAGACTAACCTGACCTAACAGGTCTTATATGCATGTATGCATGAACAATGGACATGGACAACAAAGTTGGGGACAGGGTGGGGAGGGAGAGGGAGGAGGGAATCAGTGGGATAAAAAGGAGAAATATCTGTAACAAAAATAATTAATTAAAAATAAATAAATAAATAAAAGGACTGAAATCATACAAAATATGTTCTCTGGTTACAACAGGATTAAACTGGAAATCAACAACAGAAAGAAATCTGCATAATCCTAGATTATTTGGAAATTAATCCACCTCTAAACCCACAGTTCAAAGAATAAAAATAAAAACTACATCATTTCAAATCCACAGGAGGAAGCTAATGTAGTCCTTAGAGGAAAATTTAAAGCTTTATATACTTATATCAGAAAGAGCTAAAATCAAAATTTTAAATTCTACCTTAAGAAGCTAAAACAAGAACAAATCAAAACTAAAGAAAATAATAAAAATCAAATTGGAAATTAATTAAATAGAAAAGAAGAAAACAGTAACAGAGAAAACTCAATGAAACCAAAGGTGATTCCTTGAAAAGAACAACAAAATTGATGTCTTTAGCTAGACTGACCAAGAAATAGGACGAAACATAAATTAGCAAAATTAGGAGAGAAAGCAGGACACCACTCTAGACGCTACAAAAATTAAAAGGATTATGAGGTAATATTATAAACAAATATATGCCAAGAAAGTCGACAAGTGAGATGAAAACAGATCAATTTCTAGAAAGGTATAAATTATTAAGTGGGCACAGAATATTTAAAAGGCAGAAAACAGAAACTAACTCAAGAAGAAAAAACTCTGAATAGAACAATATCAATTAAAAAAATTAATTTAGGCCTGGGCCTGTTTGGCACAGTAGTTGGAGCATCGGCCTGCAGACCAAAGAGTTTTGGGTTTGATTCTGGTCAGGGGCATATACTGTGGTTCGGTCCCAGCTCCTGGTCCAGGTTGTGCGGGAGGCAACCAATCTATGGATATGTCTGTCTGTCTCTCTCTCTCCCCCCTCCCTTCCTCCCTCCCACTCTGTCTGCAGATAAATGGAAAAATATCCTTGGGTGAGGATTTAAAAATGAATAAATAAAATTGTTTAAAAAAAAAAAAACTAATTTGGTAATTAACCCCATCCCCAAAAGAAAAAGCCCAGGCCCGGATGGATTCACTAGTGAATTCTATTAAGAAAGAAACAGTACCAATATAAAATAAACACAGAAAACAGAGGAGAAAATACTACACAACTCATTTTACGAGGCCAGTATCATACTGACACTAAAACCAGGCAAACACATCAAAGAAAATTCAGACCAATGTTCCAAATGAACACAAATACAAACACCTTTAACACATGATTTAGCAAGCCAAATCCAGCAACAAATAACGAGTATACACCATGACCAAGTGGGATCTAAGAATGAAAGGTTGGTTTAATATCTGAAAATTAACTAATGTAATATATGAATCAAACAAAGAAAAAAACCCAAAAATTTGACAAAAATCCAACTCCAACTCATGATAAGAAGTCTAAACAAATTAGAACTAGAAGGATACTTTTTCAACCTGATAAGCGTCGGCTGGCGGACCAGTCTCTTGGGTTTGGTTTCTGCTAAGGGCACGTACCTCAGATGCAGTTTGTCCGGGTTGGGGTTGTGTGGGTGGCAATCAGTTATGTGTCTCTCTTGCATCAATGTTTCTCTCTCTCTCTCTCTTCCTCCCTCTCTCCCTCCTACTCTAATCTGAAGATAAACGCAAAACAGTGTTCTCGGGTGAGGATAAAAAACCAAAAACATACAGCTATCATCATACCTAACAGTGACAGACGAAATGCTTTACCTCTAAGAGTAGAAACAAGAAGGATGTCTGCTCTCATCACTACACAACAAGGTACTGGAGGTTCCAGTCAGTGCAATAAGGTAAGGGGGAAAAAACCCAAACATCTAAATCAGAAAGGAAAACGTAAAACTGTCCTTCTTTGCAGATGTAATCTGTGTATAGAATCTACAAAAGCCATTGAACTGGTAAGTGTGAAAATGTCAACATACAATAAACGATCAGGCCCAGAAGACACCCCACTACTTACTCAGCCATTCTCACACAAGGGCATTTAAATTCTGAATCATCTCCTTCCTGTCTCTGGCAAATTTAGTTTTCTAGAACCAATCCTGTCTTTGCTACTTTGGTTTGGACCTTGATTCCCAAATGGGTGGTTTAATTGGAGCTGGGTGGGTGTCTCTGAGCAGACTGGAGACTATCTGACTCATTTCTGACCCTTGCAAAGCTGAGCAGTGTGAAACCCAGTTAGCATGTACAGCATTTTGAGGGTGAGGCACTGTAAGTACTACCCCATTTAATCATAACTGCACAACAGAGGCACAGTTACTATCCTCCTCCTTCAGATGAAGGCAAGGAAACAGAGGTGGTCAACAAGGCTCCTCTTGTCAGCCCCACCAGTTTTAGCAGAGGCTCCTCATTCCTCATACCTCTTGAAGCAAGGAAAGGCACTATCTCCTGACAGGGCATCAGCTGCACGGCTAAGCTCCTAGAGAGGGATTAGCTTCTCTATTTTTCATCCGGAGAGACAGTAAGACCCCAAAACCATAACCATTTCTGTGGCTGGAAAAATTTGTCCAAGATGTGGCAGAAGAAAGTGAGAAAGGCAAAGGGTTTTGAGGCAGATACTATAGGGCAGAGGCCCAGCTCTGACCTTCCCTGGATGGCTGAGCTGGAGCATGGTACCAAACAACTCCTTTAAACTCTAATTTCCTTCTCCAGAAACAATGCAAATGAGCACTATGATACAGGTGGGAAGCTCAGATGGGAAGACAAGTATTTAAGTGATCAGCACACTGAAACTTGTTCTAGAATGTGTCCACAGCCTGGAAAAAGGGGATAGGAGCCTGTTGGGGCAAGACTCTGGGAGGGCCCATGCCTAGTTTAAAAACTCAATAGAGGAATCACAGGACTTTGAGTCCTATAAGGTACTGGTGAGAGGGGAACCAAAAAAATCTATAGAATTGTGTGGTCTGGTCCAAGGAAAAAAGAAATTAACTTCTGAGTGGTTATCGAAAAGCAACAATTAAAAATAATAAATAGGCCCGGTCAGTGTTGCTCAGTGGTTGAGTGTCAACCCATGCACCAAGAGGTTGGTGGTTCGACTCCCGGTCAGGGCACATGCCCAGATTGTGGGCCCGATCCCCAGTAGGGGGCATGTAGGAGGCCGCCAATCAATGTTCTCTCATCGATGTTTCTCCCCACCCCAAACCAATAAAGAAAATACTACTACTACTACTACTAATAATAATAAACAGTGGGCAGGTGGATGAGTGCAGGTAGTGAGCTACCTTCTCCCAGTTCTTCCAGGCTGAGAGGACTTGACTTTGATGCACAGCAGCCTGGCCCTTCTCAGGAAGATGAGAGCTGGCCGTGCGCAGGCCCCTTGCTGGGTGTGGCAGGTGAGATCTTACTAAATTCTCAACCTATAAGGGTTAATTTTCAATTTATAGAAGAGTAAACAGAGTCCCTGATGGATTACATCCCTTTTTAGGGACTTGAATCCTGGCACCCACTGTTCGCCCCTACCACACGGTCTCCCCAGTGATTGCGTCAGAATGCTCTGCTCGAGGCTACTCACCCAAGCCAGGCGCTCTCCCACCCCTGGCCTTTGCATAGGGTGGGGTTTCTCTGAACACTCCAGGTCACCTGGCCAACTCAGCCCACAGTTTAGATGCCACTTCCTCCAACTGAAAAACCCCTAGATGCTGTCACTTGCCATGTTCTGTTAGCCCAGGTACACATCCTCTATGTCAGCCCTATCACTATGCTGCAATAACCTGTGTCCATGTCCATGCCCCCCTTCTAGGTTGGGAACTCAGGGCTAGGACCACAGGAGCCCCAGGACAGAGAGCACCTGGCAGACAGGGTATTCAACAGAGCCTATGAAAAGCATAAAGAACCTCAGTGGGAGCTCAGAAGGCAACGCAGGAGCCCTGGAGCCCTGATGGGCAAGAGACAAAATGGTAACAACTGGGGAACGAGGCTGAGCTGCGGCTGCCCCTGAGACTTCAGCAGAGCCCAGACAAGCCCATCCTAGGCTGTCCCAGGCGCTGATGTGGGAGGGATGGCTGGCTTCTCCTAGGCCTCACCTGGGCTGGAGCCAAGGCAGCCTCTTCACTTTCTGAGTCTTCCTCACTGCTCTCTGAGTCTTCGTGCGTCTCAGCTTTGACCTGGGCCACCATAGGCCCTGCCTTCCCAGGGAGTCCCAGGGTGGTCCCTTGTCCTGAGGGTCCTTTGGTGGGCGCTGAGGCAGCTTTCACTGGCAGGCTTTTCCCCACAGACTTAGCCTAGAATGACATGGAAGAGAGCTATGTCACAGGACTCCAAAGGACCACAGTGGGCTGGCTCGAGTCGGCCAAACACACGGCCTCACCTGTCCCCCTGCTGTGGCAGGAGCCGTCTCCTCCTCACTCTCTGATTCCTCGCTGCTTGAAGAGTCCTCCTCTGGCCTCTGGGCACCCCTGGCCAAGGCTGGGGATGATGCGCAGGCTGGCGAAGTCACTGTTCTTGTTTTCCAGGGAACTGGTGTGTCAACTTGCACTGGGGGGACCTTGGCAGATGCAGGGGTAATGGGAGTGCCCTTCCTTGGGGAGGCCTTGGTCTGAGGAGTTTTTATAGCCAGTTTTGCCTGAGGAACACAGAAAATAGAGGCTGGAGGATACTGGATTCTGAGCCTCCATCTGTCCTGGGGTGAAGCTCACTATTGTCCCACCCCCATAGCTTCCTATGACGCTGACCAGTGGGGACCACTCAGGGTCAGGCTATGTGGCAGCCTCACCTGAGTGGGAGTCATCGCTGCAGACGCCTCCTCCACACTGTCTGACTCCTCCTTGATGCTCTCCAATTCTTCCTTGGACCTTCTGACCTTGACCTGAGTGGCTGCAGGCCCTGCCTTCTGAGGGGACCCCTTGATGGGATTTGAGGCAGATCGGACCTGGAGGACTTTCCCGGAGGACTTTGCCTGGAATGAGACACACGAGGTTAGGGGAGGGAGACACAAGAGGCTGACAGGCAAGCAATCACAGAGCAGAGAGGGAGGGGACTCAGGCACTGTGCGGGCAGGGAGAGAAGAGCCTTACAGGCAGGGGCCTTACCTGGGCCGAGGTCACGACTGCTGGCATCTCCCCGTCACTGCTTGACTCCTCGCTGCTGCTCTCAGAGTCCTCCTCCTGCTTCCGGGCCTGAGCCAAGGTGGCTGCAGAGCCGGCCTTCCCAGCTGGTACGGGGACAGTGCCTTTCCCAGAGGGTCCCATGGCTGAGGCAGCTCTGCTTTGAGAGTTTTTTCCCAAGGGCTTTGCCTGGGAGTGATAAGGGACAGGATTAGGGCAGGGGGCTCACAGAGGAAATGTGTAAGACAGGAGAGGAGGAGGGCAAATGGGGGACTAGGGCTCGAGCGGCAGGGGGAAGACAAGCCCACGGTGTTCTGCAGGCAGGGCAAGGCCATGGCGAGTGTCCCCCAGCCTCACCTGAGCCAGGTTTGAGGTTACAGGCGCTGCTGCTGGCGCCTCCTCCTCACTGTCCGATTCCTCGCTGCTGCTCTCCGAGGCCTCCTCGGGCCTCCCTGCCTTGGCCTGGGCTGCTGCAGGCCCTGCCTTCCCAGGGGGTGCCGGGACAGCCCCCTTCCTGGGGGACTCCTTGGTGGGGGCTGAAGCAGTTTTGACCTGGGGTGTTTGCCCCGAGGGCTTCACCTGGAGGGAGAGAAACAGAATTGGTGGGTGTGAGGAAACAGGAGACCACACAGGACCATGACACTACACTACACACAGCACACTGTGAGAAGGGGTGGGGCAGGGCTGGGAGCACGCCTGGGCGCTGGTGCAGGGAGAGGCCAAGCCTTCTGGGGAGGGGCACGGGCACGAGCTCTGCTCCCCAGGCCTCACCTGAACTGGAGTCTTGGCAGCTGGTGCCTCCTCCTCACTGTCCGATTCCTCGCTGCTGCTCTCCGAGGCCTCCTCGGGCCTCCCTGCCTTCCCAGGGGGTACTGGGACAGCTCCCTTCCTGGGGGACTCCTTGGTGGGGGCGGAGGCAGCTTTAACCTGGGGGGTTTTCCCCGAGGGCTTTGCCTAGAGAGAGAGAAGCAGAATTAGGGGAGGCAGCCCAGAGGGTGGATGTGAAGAGACATAGATCACACAGGGTCAACAACACCTCACACCCCCAAATCCCACACTCTGCACGGGGAGGGGTGGGGCAGGGCTGGGAGCACGCCTGGGCTCTGGTGCAGGGGGAGGCCAAGCCTTGTGGGGAGGGGCACGGGCACGAGCTCCCCTCCCCAGGCCTCACCTGAAGTGGAGCCTTGGCGGCTGGCGCCTCCTCCTCACTGTCCGATTCCTCGCTGCTGCTCTCCGAGGCCTCCTCGGGCCTCCCTGCCTTCCCAGGGGGTGCTGCAGGCCCTGCCTTCCCAGCGGGTGCTGGGACAGCTCCCTTCCTGGGGGACTCCTTGGCGGGGGCAGAGGCAGCTTTAACCTGGGGGGTTTTCCCCGAGGCCTTCACCTAGTAAGAGAAAAAGAGCAATCTGTTCCCTTCCTCCTGAAAACCCCCTTGTGACACCTTCAGAATAAAGCCGAGGCCTCAGTGGGGCTCTTGGGACCCCCTGCTTCTCTCCTCACTCCCCACCTTGACTGATGCTCTGACCTGGCCCATCAGCTCCACACTCTTTAATTCCTGAGGCCTTCACACCCCCTGCCCACTTCACCTGGCCACCACTGCTTCCTCCTCCGGGTCACAGACAAACCCCAGTTCCCAGGCACTGCCCACGGTTGCCCTGCAGGTCGCCCAGCTGGGCTGCCCCACCAACGAGAAAGCTCTGAGCACAGCACCGTGTCTGGCCAAAGGCTGCTGTGCCCTCAGTGCTGCTGGCCCCAGTGCTCACCTGACTGGGCTCAGGGGAGGGAGTATGCAAAGGCCCAGAGGGAGGCCCTCCCTGAGCTTTCTACACATGGACAGCAGGAGGACCCCTGGGAAGCCTGTCCTAGCCTCATGGGGCGAGGTCCCCAGATCCCGGTCTTCCTCACTGACTCCTGCTGCGCTCCAGCTCTGACTTGGCCTCAGGGTTCTGGCAGGGCGGCTTTGAGCTCTGTCTTAGAAAGGTCAGAGCTGCTTGGTCTGAGCCCATCCCCCCAGAAAATCAGCGGCTCTGATCACTTTCCTTCTAAACACCTTCCCGAGCAGAGGGTGTGGGCTGCTCCAGACAGGTTTTGTTTGGCTTGGATCTTTTTAAATTTTTCAACCGATATGGAGAAAGTAGATTTTAGGGAAAAGTTCACATTTGGGCTCCTTCCAAAAAACGAGTGGCAGGCAACACGGGGTAGACCCGGGCACAGCAAGACTGCCCCGAGCTGAGGAGCAGCAGCCTGTGTAGACAGTCTGCACTCTCATGTCACAGCCTCGCTCCCACTCCCAGGAGGGGCCTTGGCACTTGCTCCCTGCCTGGAATGACCCTCCAACTGGCACGTGGTCTCCTCTCTTTTCCTTCAGGTTTTCAAAGCTTTACACGTCTCCTCTGCGAGGCCTGCCCCGAGCGCTCCAGATTAAATGGCCATCCACATCCCTCCCCGCCTCACTTCCCTCTTTAACAGTCACCAACATCTAGCAATGCTTACTGAACGTCTTCCGTGTACCATGCTGCCTCAGGCCTGGGTGTGAAGTGGGACCTCCGCTCCTGGGACTCACCTGGGCGGGCTCAGGGTTGCCTGGGCCTTTTACCATGACTGTCTGACTCTTTCTCTCTCTTCCCCCGATTCCAACAACTCCCCAGACCCTCTGCATTTCCCTTGGGACATACCCAGAGCCTCAGGGGCTGCATCCCTGCCCCCCCCCGGGGGGGGGGCAGCAGATAGAAGGTAAGCAAATTCCTGGTAGCTATCAAGCCATGATTTGGCCTGAGAAGCCAAGGGCCGAGCAATAAAAAGTTCTCAAGCCCGTCACAGCAGGGCTAGCGGAGATGAGGGTAGCAGCCCATTTACTAGACAGGGACACTGAGGTAAAGGGGAGTGACTGACAGAGCGGGGAACAGGACCACCCTCTGGGATGCAGCCACCCTAGGCTGCTGTTTGGCAAGAAGGGCATCCCCACAGGTACCCGGAGCAAGCCCCGCTGCCCTTGACTTTGAGTGTCATACCCCTGCCTCCCTCTCCCCAAGGCAAGTCTTCCCTGGCAGAGGAGGTGCTCGTTACATAGCTGGGGCCATGGGAGAGCCCCAGGCTGCGGGGACCAGGAGGCCCCAAAGGGCAGCCCTCCCCCGGGCCTCACCTGGTTGGGTTTCCCCGTAGGGGCCTCCTCCTCACTCTCCGAGTCCTCCTCGCTACTCTCCGAGGCCTCCTCGGGCTTCTTGGCCCCACTGGCTGGGGTTGGGGCACCTCCTCTGACTTGGGATGTCACATGCCCTGTCTTCCCGGAGGTGGGGGCTGCCCTTTTCCCTGGAGACTCCTTGGCAGGGTCTGGCGAGGCTTTGACCTGTGGTGGTTTTACTGAGGGTTTCATCTGGAACAAGAAGATGGAATTAGGGAAGGAACAGGCCTTGCCTCAGGAGGGTCTTCGATGCTCCACTGTTTACAAAGCCCTCTCAAACAACTCACTGAGACAGACACTACTGTTACACCCACTTTCCAGGAAAGGACAAGCAGCTCTGAGAGGTTAACTCACTCAAGACCAATACTGAGGGGCAGAGCTGTGACGGAACCCATGTCTGTGCAGCTTTGGGGGCAGAATTTTCAAACCCTGTGCTCCTCTGCCACCTGGCATACAGGGTCCAGCGCAGAGGGGTAGCTTCTCCCCAACAGGAATGCCCATCCTCGTCTGCCTCAATTGCAGTATCTAATCATGGTGGCCACCCCGAGGGCCAGGGGGCCAGTATCTGAAAACCAACCTTGCCACTGGCTTGCTGGGGTACCTTAGGCATATTCTTTCCCTCTCTGAGCTTTCTTAGACCTCTAAAAGCCTGACATTTCCAAGGCAGGCAGTACCCTACCTCCATCTCTGCTGTCAGTGAGACCTCACCTGACCCTGGGTTTCTGGGGCAGCCATCTCCTCAATCCCAAACTCTTCCTTGCTGCTGCTGGAGCTGTGCCCGGCCTCTGGCCCACAAGGCCACGTGTTTAACTGCTGGTTTCCCAGGGCATCCTATGGCTAGCTGCATCTAGGGCCCAAAGGTGGGAATGGAAAGTGGGCAGCACATGAAGCCAGGCCTGTGGTAGATGGGGGTGAGGACTCCACCTTTACAGGTTACTAGGTGAGGCAGGAGAGACGGGAAGTACTCCGGGCACCAGATCCATCCATCCTTGAATCCTGCTGGTTCCCCCTCCAACATCTTTCCACTGGGCCCCCTGGTGTCAGCTCCAGTATTTCTCCAACAGCCCCTCAGTGGTCTCACTACCTTCATTCTGTCCTCATTCCAGGCCACAACCAGTAACCTTTTTGAAACATAAATCAGGTCATCTTAGCCCTGTGCCTGAAACTCAGCAATGGCCTCTCACAGCCCTGAGAATAAAATCCCAACTCTCTCCGGTGGTCCACATGGTCAGAGGATGTGGCCCGACTATCTAACCGATCTTACGTCACTTTCCCCCTCATTCTCAAAATTGTAGATCAGCAACCCTTACAAGCACCGAACTCTGTCTCCGTCTCTGCTCGTGCTGTCCCCATTGTCTACATCATGTTCCCACCACAGCCCCTTGTGGCTCTCTACATCTTCCCTACAGAGTCACATCAGCATTGGAGTGAAGTTTCTGAGGGACCCTTGCTTCGCCACAGCAGCAGGACCCCTCCTAGCTACCTTATCACAATTGCACCCTAGCAGACGCACCATGAGAAATGACTCCCCAGTCACAGCTCAAAGATGCAAGGCCACAGACCAAAACCTGCCCATCTCTGGTCAGGTGCCTGGGCCTGGCATTTGCCAGCGGGCTCAGACCCCCGCAGCAGCCTCACTGCACTCGCCTAGATCGCACCACAGGACAGCACCCTCCTGTGCCTGGGCCCTTGCTTGTGCAGCTCTTCCTGCCTGAACACCCGTTCCTACATCCTGCCCCCTTGGTGAAGGCCCGTGTGTCACAGCCCTGCTCCAGGGCCACCTCTCCCAGGAAGCCTGCCTTTGTCTTAGACAAATGGCGTCTCTCTCACAACCGTGGACCCTTCTCAGACCCAGAGTGCAATGAGCAGCACCCGATCCCAACCCCCAGACCTCAGCCATTCCAGCTACCGGTCCCACTGGTCTGTGAAGCCAGGCTCCTGGGAGGGAGGGTCAAAGGTTTGCAGAGGGCAGCTCCTAGGGACGAGCTGCAATTACCTCCACATCCGTCTCATCGCTGGAGGTGTCCTCGCTGGAACTATCGACCTGGCCTGCTGGTGCCATTCCTGAGGGAGGAACAGGGAGGGCACTGAGGCCACCCTTCCCGGACCCGCCCGCACTCCACCACGCCACACCAGCTAATCAACGCCAGGCGCTGAGTGCTTGAGCCCCGCTTCACAGCTCCACCATCTCTTGAAGCCCCAGAGCTGAGGTGCATTCCACCTGCGTCCCTGTTTCTGCACACCTCCGAGGTCCTGGTGAGGGTATAATAGGTCCTAACACGTGTGCCAGCTTAGAAAAATCTCCTTCCACCATCATACTGAGGCAGGCAAGACAAACACCCATTTTACAAGAGAAATGGAGGCAAACCCAGGCCTCTCAGTTTAGTCTCTAAGCCTCTAAGATGGGCCTTATACCCACCTGAGAGCAATAAATCAGAAAATGCTCCACTATCCCCCAGGCTGCTCAATTCCCTCAGCAAAGCCTGATGCATCCCTGTGGCTGACTCGCCCTCATCAAGGGGAAGGGAAAATAGTCTGAGGCGGGGCGGGGGCTCGCTGTCATGGAGACAAGCCCCTGAATTCTAAAGTGCCCCAGAGCTTGGCAAAACAGTACCCAGGCCTGCCTCTCCAGCCCACACTCAGGGTTCTTCTCACCAGGCTTGGCAGTGGTTCCGAGGGCTGGGACGCTGCCCAATGACTCAGTTTCTGAGACCAGGATGGTGTTTGCTGAGAGCCCTGTCAACTTTTTAGGTGACTTCCCGGAGAGGAGGGGGGCCACTGCCTTCCCGGAGGCAGGGTGTGGTGTGGAGTTCACTGTCTTGTTGACTTTCTTGGTCTTTGCCTACAGAGAACACACTTGAGTAAGTGACAGACACACTTGAGTAAGGACCAGTGAACTAGGAACACAGACCACATCTGAACCCAGCCCTGCCACTTCCTAGCTGTGTGAGTGTGGACAAATCACCTCCCTTCCTCTCTCTTTCTTCACCTTTAAAGTGGGGCTAAAAATGGTGCCTCCCCTCACCGCGATGTGGGGAGCACTAGGTTACTGTTCTGGGAACACACTTGTTACTTGCTAAGTGGTCAATGGCAGTTTGTTGTGGTTATCATCATTATTTCATAATTATTTTTTCAGGAAAGGAAACTGAGGCCCAGAGTGGTGAAAGGACTTACCAAGATCACACAGCTGGTAACTTTGGCTGAGATTCGAATCCAGGTGAGCAATTACCCACAACCCTACCTTCTCTGACACAGGAGACTGCCCCCCACAGGGCATTTCTACTCTTTCAGGTAACAGCTTGCAAAAACGTGGTCCTACTCACCTGGGCTTTTTCTTTCAGGCTTGATGGCAAAACCGCCTTCACGACCGAGGAGTTGGTGGAAGCTAATCTCGGGGCTGCAAAACACAAACACCCGCCGATGAGCCAGGTGAGCCTGTTCTCACTTAAAAACAGCAAACAGGTTTCCCCTCACTTGAGAACTGGTGTGGCTGCCTGGCGCAGGATAAAGATCTGAGGTCCAGCCCAGATTTGTGGGAAAGAACTCTGTGGAACATGAACCACATCCACCGGGAGCGAGAGAGGCAAATGAAAGCTACACGCCTGCATCTTCGATGGAGTCCCATCTCCCTGGTGAAGAGACAGAGGCCCCCAGAGGAAAAGGACTGGCTCAGTCCTGACGCGTGCTACCAAGAAGGCACTGGGGACACCAAGTTTGACACAGGGGAAGGGCTCAAATAAATACTGAGACAGATAGCTGGGCCCTTTCGACCTTCCCCTTAAAAGGTCCTGGTCTTCCCAGGGCTCACTGAAGGAGAAACTGGAGCTGGCACGCCAAACAATCCAATACCCAGTAGCCTGTTCCCCAAAGGTGCTGGGCCCTGGGCTAAGCCCCCACAAGCACCAATGATGGGAGCCCCCCCAGCAGTGCCCAGCATGCAGGGCTCTTACTGGCTTTGGTGGTTTCAGCTTCTGCCTCCTCCTCCTCCTCTTCCGAGCTCTCCGAAGTGCTAATGGGGTCTGACACTCGGGCCTTCTTGGCCTGCAGTGCTGCATCTTCCTCGGCCTTCCGCTTCCGGCCAATCTCCGAGGTCCTGCAGGACAAGAGTGACTGGTTATACCAACTGGTGACAAGGACATCTCCAGATTTGAAAAGAAAGACCTTCCCACATCCTCTCACCACTCCAAAGGAAATACGCATAAAGAGTTTCATCAGCAACGAAGACAGAGTAGATAAAATTCTGCACTTTCCCTCGTTTCATAAAGCATTTTAATAATTGTGTAGTAGTCTTCAAGATAGTCAGGAATGGTCAATGACATACTAACAGTAGCTAACAGGTGCTAGCACCACAGGCACTTCAGAGCCATCCGGGCTCCTCCCTGCAGTGCCCTCTTCTTAGAAGTCTCTGCCCAGGCCCGCCTGTCCTTCAGACCTCATCTGTAACACAGCCTCCTCAGAAAGGCCCTCCCCGATCACACTCCTGCCCCAAGATCCTCTCTGCCGTCACCCTGTTTCATTTTCTTCAGAGCACTTCTCTCTCCCGTAATTTTACTTACTTCCTGCCTGACGCCCCATCTATACAGTAAGGTCCGGGGATGGGGAGGGCTGGCAGGAACCTTTTCCAGCTCACTAAGGTACCCTTAGTGCACAGCACATGTCTCAAAAAATGAACGACTAAATGACCTGCCCAGGATCAAAGAGTACATCTAGGGCATTGGCAGGATGAGCACTCAGATGGCTGATCCCTGGAACATCCAAGTATCTCTTCTTCCCCATCCTCCCACCCGGAGGGAGCCACTCTCTGTGCCCATGTTGTCCAGCTGTGACAGACATTGCTCTGCCACAGTCTGGGGTGTGCTGCTCAGCTCCCTGGTTCCCAGGAAGGTCACTTATTGAGAATCTCCTGTTAAAAAATATTTATTACATGTATCAATTGTTCTGCCTCTCTCTTCCCAGCAGTTTTATAAGGGAAGGAGCTGTTCTCTGGTTTGTTCCCAGTTATATCAAGAATAGTCCTGGCTCAGAGTAGGAGCTATGTAAATTTGGGGGGAGGGGAGGGGACCGGAAATACCCCCAGCAGCCAGGTTTAGCACTTTATCTACTATTATTATCAGGGAAACCATTTGTCCATGGTCATACAGCTAGTTGCTGGGTGTGAATTTGCCAAGACGCACTAAGCTAGGCTTCCTCTGGTGGATATGAGGTTCCCATTTCACCCAGTACTCCTTACCCACAGGGGCCAGGGGCAGAGAAGGGCTTGTGGTGCAGCTCACTGAAGCAGTTCTCTGGGAAAGGAAGTGCTGTGACTAACAGCCAAGACACTGGCCAAGTTGAAGAGGGTGAGGGAGAGGAAGTGTGGGGTATGCCCTGTGCTTGCTTTAGCAACAGAGAAGAGTCAAGAACTGAGTGCTGGCTGGGCTTTTAAAGACCTTGGAAGCTGGGATCCCTTCCATACCATCTGCCTTTGCTTACATACCTCTGATAACAGGGAGCTCACCACTCCCACGGTACAGCCTCCCTAATGTTTGGATAGCTCTGAGACACCAAGCACTTGTGTTCAGAAGCTGAAACCTCTTCTTAAAGCAGGTACATACAGATCCCACTTCTGTCTCCCAGGGCCCCAGAGAACATGCCTCTCCCTTTGTGTCCTTACAGATGTGCAGACAGTGGTCCCCTCACCTGCCCTTTTGCCATCTCTTTTCCATCCTGAACAATTTAGTATTCTCTATGAGACATGACTCGAGGTTCTTCACCCATCTAGTTGGCTATGGTCAGACCAGTGCATGGAGAGAATACAATTAATTGTCCCCTCCTTCATTCTCAAACCATTCTTCGTGGAGACACCCTTGGATTATTTCCCAGTCCTTGAAAAGTACTTAAGTTTTACATGTTTCACACTCAACATGTCCTTGAAATTTTCCCCTCCAAATCAAGATCCCTCCCAGCTCCATGCACAAGCCAGATTCCTGAGATTTGATTAGATGGCCTCTCGCATCCATCCACAGATCCTGGTTTCATCCCTGAATATTCTTGGAATCCACTTCCTACCTCCTATTATTCCTGTCTCAAGCTCCCATCAGCTCTTGCCTGGATGATGAGGTCCACAGCCCCAACCATTCTCTCCAGGCTGTAGAGCGATCTCACCACTCTGCTTCACCCTTCCATGGCTCCTACACTCTTGGGATAAAGACATAACTTCTCACCATGGATAATCAGGCCTTGCAGGGGTGAGCCCTGCTGATTGCCCAGCCTCATCTGCACTGTACCCACCGCTATAGGCCTCAGCATTAGCAGTTCCCTCTCCGAGGTACACTCCACCTGCTTCTCCACACCCAATGCCTATTTCAGTCCCCCACTCCCTGCAGCTTCAAGTCAAAGGTCAGCGTAGGGAACCTTTCCTAGAACCCCAAATGAGGTTTAAGTGGTTTTGGCACTGGGTACCTCTTTTTTGTAATCCTTTCTACCACTGTAACTTAACATTCGTCTGTTTCATTCTTAGATGTATGCCTACTTCCCTGTGTCTAACGTCATCTCCAGGAAATGAAGAGGCATGTCTGTCTCCTGACATCTCCATACTTAGAACAGGGCTTGGTATTTAATTAAGTGCTCGGTAAATGTTTGTTGACTAAACGGAATAACAAATTGCTGAGAAGCTTCTGTCTTTATTGTTCAATAATGAATACAGCTTTCAATGTCCTCTCCTACTACCAGACACCCCTACATGTGACCTAGCTTTCTAGGAGCGATAATGGTGTCAACAGTGGACTTTGGGGACAGATCTTAGACCAAATTAGTACCTTAGCTTATTTCAAGCTGATAGTTAGGTGTGTCCCTACTCCACACCTTCAACACCATCAGACTTACTGTTGCCAGTGTGTATAGATGTCCAGAAGGGTTACGGGCTGAGCCGGTAAACTTTTCTGCAAAGAAGTAAAGAGAGAGCGGCAATTAAACCCCCAGCACAGTAAGGGTCCTCCTTGGGTCCAACTCTCCACACCTCATGACTTATAGTCAGGTGGTTGAGAAGGGGGCCATTTTGCCCTGGAAAATATGTTTGTTTGGCCCCACCAGTACCACCCAAACCTTGCAGAGACAAGCAGGGCAAGTATTTCCAGTTAAAACCTTTTTTTTTTTAATCCTCACCCGAGGACATTTTTCCTTTTTTTTTTGTTCAGATAGAGTGGGAAAGAGAGAGAGGAAGAGAGAGAGAGAGAAACATCAATGTGAAAGGGACATATCGAGTGGCTGCCACCCGCACGACCAACTAGGGCTGGGGACAAAGTGCAACCGAGGTACGTGCCCTTAGTGGGAACCGAACCCGGGTCTCTCTGAACCGCAGGCCAATGCTCTAACTGCTGAGCCAAACCGGCCAGGGCTCCAGTTAAAACCTTTTAAGACAACATGTTTGAGAGGGGTGCCTTCAAGAGACTGGAGTTGGAATGTTCTAGGATAGCACTTACTCAGCCCCCGGCCTCCCTGGCACTTTCCATGCTTAGAGGCCACAAGACAGGGCTCTTTCCACCCGACCTTTTAAAAGGCTTTTAAAGGTCAGGCTGATCAATCTCCCCACGGCACTATGAACCACAGCCCAACACCCAAGCATCCAGGGGGCATGCAGTCCACTTATCCACTGGGAAAGTACTAGAACCAAATGGTGCCAGTCCCTTGATAGAAGCAGAGGAAACCAGGTGAAATCCAGGCCTTTGGAGCCAAGGCCAGAGGGCCCACTGTCTCTGGAAATAAGAACCTGGGATGTCAAGTGCCTCAAGGAGGCTGAGTGAGCAATGTGTGGCAAAGGTAGAGGGCGTCAGGGATCTGGGCAGAGTGACCAAGAGGGTGCACCCGCAGTCACGCAGAACTCCTCTGTTAAATAGCTGGGCTAACCGCTTCACACTTCAGGTTCCTTCTTTATGACATGGGGGCAACAGCAGTACCCACCCAACAGGTTGCTATCAGGCCTAAACAAGATAATCTAGTCAGTGCTCAACACAGTGAGCTGGTACCACTGAGTCGTCTAGTGTCAGTTTCACTCTACTCCACCCTAGGAAACCGTCTTCTTCTTCTTCTTCGCATTTCTCAAATCATCAGGCCACCCCGCCCCCATCAGGACTTGCAATTCTGTTCTCTGAAATGCTCTCCACTGCTAACTACACAGCTCCCTCCCTCCCTCCCTTCCTTTAGGTCTCTGCCCAAATGTCGCCTTCGCAGAGGGGCTTCCTGACCACCCTATTTGTAACTGGACATCCCTATCCCCCTTGCCTGCCTTATTTTATAGCTAGCACCTACTCTCAACCGACACACTACATCACTAACTTTTTTATATTTGTCACCTGTCTGTCCCTGCTAGAATGTGTGCTCCATGAGCAGGACATTACTTTTACTTAGGCAAACGCCCCAATGAAGACAGGTGCTGTCTTTTGCCCTCCTTAGCTGTTAGGCGATATAAACGGAGTAAGAAGGGCGAGTGAGGTGTAGAGAGGACTAGAAAAAGCATAGATAAAAATCTTAGATCCCATCACCCTCTCGTCTCTTCAGGAGGTCCGGAGAGCAAGCACCAGGACCAGAGCTCCCAGTGGGGCCGGAGGAATACTGACTACTCATTTTACCAGCTTACAACCCTCCTCCGGCTTTCCGCTGCTCTTCAGATTAGGACCACACTGCCTACAACGGGCTGCTCTTCAGATTAAGACCACGCTGCCCACAACGGAGCTCCAGGCAGCACCCCTCCCCTCAAGGGGCCTCTAACACCCTCAGCCACAACAGGCTTTCCTAAGGCCAATCATCCGCAACAAGTTTCCTCCCACCACAGGGCATTTGCACCCCTGTCTGAACACCGCCCGCCTTCTCTCAGACCTCACATCAACACCGCTTCCTCAGGAAAACGGCCCTGGATTCCCCGACAGGGCCGCTGCCATTCCGGTCTTAGCACTATGCCCCCCACCCTTGGCACCCAACGTAGCGAGTGCACAGTTACTTTTATGACCCGTTGAGTTACGTCTCCCTCCCCTACTAGATTTAGGCTGTAAGCTCGGGCCGGGGGACGGTGCTCACCATTTTATCCCCGGCGCCCGAGCGCCAGGTTAGCAGTTGAAAGAATGAATGAAGAAGTTCGAATCCCAAAGCTGTCTGACTCAGTACAGAGGGCCTGAGCTCCAGCTCAGTTAGGGGGTCACAGGTCCCTTCTCTTGGCGCGCTCCTTGGCGTCCCGCTCCCGCGCCCCCTCCCCCCCCCCGGCGGGCTGCAAGGCACCCCTCGAACTTGTCGCTGCCGTCTCACCCTAGGGAGCCGCGCCGAACCACGTGGCTCGGCACACAGGAAACTTGAAGTCGCCGCTCCCAGAAAGAGGGTGGAGGTGCGGGACGCGGGAATTACAGAGCCCTGCGCGTGGACCACACGTCCCGGCCCGCCCACTGAACACGATAGCGAAACGGAGGCCCAGAGGGGCTGGGAGCCGCAGCGGAGGGCAGAGGCTGCGGACCCTTCGGCACCCCTCGTCGCGTCCCCGAGCTCCGAGGGACAGGCTCCGGGCGCCCGCCAGGGGAAGGGGCGCGGGCTGCCGCTCTCCAGCTCCCGCACGCGGCCCTCACACACGGCCCGCGCACGCTTACCTGGCCGCTCTGCTCCTTCACTTCCCGCGCCGCGCGCACGAAGCCGGCCTGCAACAGATGCTGGTAGATCAGGGGAAGCAGCTCCCGCCGCTTCCTGGCCTCAGCCATGCCGGCGACCTGCGGCTGCTCCGCTCACCTGCTAACCCAACCTCTGTCCCCGCCTGCCACTTCCCTCGTGCCCTTAGACCTCGCGCGCCCCACTTCCGGGTCCTCATTGGGCCGGCCGCGCAGCACGCCGGGAAATGTAGTCTAATCCCCTGGAGCGGCGGGTGAAAGGGGCGGGGCCTCCGAAGGACACGAGACCTCCCATTGGCGGGGAGGGGGCTTGGTTCGACCTGAGCCCGCCCCCTGGGCCGGCCATGATGAGTATGACTCCCTCTTAAACCTTCAGCCTTGGCCCCTGAAGGAGCTTGTCTTCCACGTTAGCTGTCTGAGGGATGCCATGGGGTTTTAGTCATCTCTGAACGTCGTAATCTGCATGCCTGTCTAGAGCAGAACTTCCAGTTACAAAGTCAGTTGATCATATCACACTTTTTAGGACCCATGAACTAGAAGTCTGTGGATGAAAAAGGGCCAGTACTAAACCGGGAGACCTGCGTGGCGGGCCTTACAAAGCAGAGCCGGAAAGCAACCCAACAGGATGGTCTGAAATGGAAACTTCCCAACTAAAGGCAGTTCACGGCGGTTGTCACGTCCTAGGCCCGTGTCTTCCTTGACAAAGGTCAATCTTTACCTTAACTAAGCCTGTCTTTGGTCTCTTTCTGCATCTATAATAATACAACTGATAACATACCTTTGGAATATCAAAGTAATTTTCTTTTGTCCCTGGACCCCTCAAAGTACAACCACTGCACCAGAGCAGAGATCACAAATCCCCTCATTGTTATCATATTTGTATCACATCCCCCCCCACCCCCACTTTGCTTTCTCCTGCCTCCCTGATCTATCACCAATGGATTTCATGTAACCCTTTTACACCTTCTCCTTTGATTGTAATGTGTAAAACAAGGTGCAAAACTGCCATTCTCTGGAGCATTTTCTCAGTCCATTGAGATTTTGCTCCCCGGCCATTGTTGTCAGTTTGGCTCAAATGAACTCATAAAGTTTCTTATTTATTTATCTATTTTAATTAGTTTATTTATTTTTGTTACAGATGTTTCTCCCCCCCCCACACTGATTTCCCCCCTCTCCCTCCCTCCCCGCCCTGTCCCTAGCTTTGTTGTCCATGTCCACTCTTCATGCCTACATGCATATAAGTTCTGTGGTTTATCTCTCCCCCAACCACCCCCTCTTCTGGGGATTGTCAGTCTGTACCCCACTTCCACGTCTCTGGGAGTACCCCGTTCCTCAGACTGTTATGTTCATTATATTCCACAAATAAGTGAGATCATGTGATATTTGTCTTTCTCTGTTTGGCTTGTTGCGCTTAGGATGATACTTCCAGGTCCTTCCATGTCGTCTCAAAGGACAAGAGATCTTTCTTTCTTACAGCTGCATAGTACTCCATTGTGTATATGTACCACAGCTTTTTGATCCATTCGTCTACTGATGGACACTTGGGCTGTTTCCAGATCTTAGCTATTGTAAATAGTGCTGCTACGAACATGGGCGTACATATATTCTTTCTGATTGGTGTTTCGGGCTTCTTAGGGTGTATTCCTAGAAGTGGGATCACTGGGTCAAATGGAAGTTCAATTTGTAACTTTTTGAGGTAACACCATATTGTTTTCCATAGTGGCTGCTCCAGTCTGCATTCCCACCAGCAGTGTACTAGAGTCCCCTTTTCTCCACACCCTCGCCAACACTTGTTGTTTGATGATTCGTTGATGGTGGCCATTCTGACAGGTGTGAGGTGATACCTCATTGTTGTTTAAACTCATAAAGTTTCTTACAGGTTTGGACATTTTTTACATTGACAAACTATTTGTCATCATCATTCATTCACTGAACAAATCACTACTGAGCACGGTCCCTTGAGCTATCGTGGGCTAGTGGGCTGTCTGGAGGGGAGCAATAAAAAGACCAACGAGACATGGCGACCCTCAAAACTCACAGGGAGGAGAGCCTTGGTAATCAAGCGATTATGATTCCATGCCTTATGTGCATTGTTGGGGACAGGCAGAACCTGTGAAAGCAGAGATGAGGGGCACCCAAAGAGACATCTAAGCTGAAGCTTAAAGATGGAGTAGGGATTTCTAAGTGCAGAGGAAAGGACTGGCATCCCAGGCAGAGGGCTCTGCCTGAGTAAAGACAGGAGAAGCCATAGGCTGGTATAGGTTGGTAAACACAAACATAGATCCCAGCTGGTGATGCCGGGCTGTAGAGTTGAGGGAACACATGAGGATACATCAGGATGAAGAAGTAGACAGTGCCTACAGCACCCCTTCACCCACCAGCAGAGTTTGCACTTCAAAAGCAATAGATTATTTCTCACCGCTGTTATATAGGAAGGTGGCCTGCGTTTGTGTTTTTAAAAGATTGCTATGACCCAAGTGTAGAGGATGGATTTGCAGAGAAAAAAACGAGAGGCTATTATAGTTGTTGAGAGGAGGTTGGCAGGGACAGGATGAGCTAGGCTGGGGACTATTTGAATGAGCTGTTTTATAACTTCATGGACCTGTTGAGAATCTGAAGACAGCATGAACTACCTAGCCTTTGCTCTAGAAAATTTGGAATGTGTATAGACACTTCACATTTTCCCTTAAATATCAGGACATAGATAAGTACATGCCTGAGCCTCCTAGGCTTAGCAATGCACCAGGAAGCAACACGGACAGGACCATTCATTGAGTACAGTGAATGAAGAAGAGGAAGGAGATTAATCTGCTTACAGCAATGTAACAAATATTTGCTGAGCACCCACTATTGGGGATGAAACAGTCTTTACCCTAATGGGAGACACATGCTAAACAGTCATGCGTTGTTATAGTGAGTAAGTGCAGAAAGGAAAAGCATAGTGTTTTCTATCCTGGAGTCACACTGCTCCGGTTCAAATTCTGGCTGTGCCTCTTATTAATGATGTGACCTTGGTTACATAACTTCCCCGTGCCTCCGTTTCTTCATCTGCCAAGTAATTATAATTTCTATCTCATAAAGTTGTCATGAGGAGTAAATAAGTTCTAAGTGGAAATGCTCAGAAGAGCTGATAACCGTAGTGCTGTGTGTATGTATGTTAGCCATTATTGTAAAACCATTTAACAGGAGGAAGGGATCTATCTTTTCTTGGGTGTTAGGGGAGGATTCTCTGAGGGAGTGGTGTTAGTGAGGAAATCTTAACTCTGTGAAGGGGAGGATGGAGGGAAGGATCCTGGGTAGGGGGAGGAAGCTTACAAAGGGTGTGAGGCCGAGGCAGGAAAGGTCCTTTGTAGCAGGGCCCAGAGGGAGAGCAGAGGGTCTGGGGAGTATAGAAGGTGGGTGAAGGATAGATTCTACATTAAGGATCTTTCTCTTCATCTTACGAGTGAAAGAAGCCACTGACAGAATAGCCCAAGAGGGACAGGATGACATTTGAATTTTAATATGACTCGTGTGAATGCCCAGTGGAGAGTGGAGTAGTGTGTGTATGAATAAATGCAGGAAGACAAGTTAGGGTTAGGAGTGCAGACAGGCATCCAGGGAGAATATAGTGGGGTGGTACTGGTGACCGTGGAGTTGAAGAGCGATGGAAGCTTCCAGAGTTATCAGGAAGTAAAATCATCATAGAAATGTGTCGACATGGAGGGTAAGGGACAGGGAGTATTAGAATGGACTCCGAGGTCTCTGTGCAAACAGGCAGGCAGTGACTTTCACAGAGACAGAAAGAACTGGAGAGGACCGGGATGGGGGAAAGAGGGAACAAAGGAGGTTGGGGAGGAGGACAGGAAAAGTACAAGTTCCACTTTGGACATGTCGAGATTGAACTGCCTTTGAGAAATTGAGTGCAGATGTTGAGTAGGCGCTTGGAAGGTTGGGTTTGGACTCGCATGGAGATGGGAGGTAGTCCATAAAGAGATGATAATTGAGGCTGTGGATGAGGGCAGGACTGCCCAGGGAGAGAACACAGAGAGAGAAGACCAGGATGGAGCTGCAAGGCACACCCACAGCTTGGGGCTGCACAGAGAGGGTAGGTGCCTGCAGAGGCCGAGAAGGAGTGGGCAGGAGGGAGGAGAAAACCCAGGGGAGTGACCGTAGGGAAGGAAGCAGGGAAGAGTTTCAGGAAGGTGGGGAGAGTCCAGGGGGAATGCTCTGAGAGGTGGGACAGGGTGAGACGGGAACCACGGGCTTTGGTTTAATGACAAGCATGGAGATTGTTGGTGGCTTTTGGGGAGACTGCTACTCCTGAGGAATGATGGAGAAGGTCAGATGGCAGTGGTCAGTGAGTGAAGAAGGGCTGAGGGAGGCAGTGGGTCTTTTAAGAGGTTTGTGTAAAGGGAAGGAGAGAGGCTCTGTGACAGGGTCCATGTGTGTTGGGGGAGGTGTGTTGTGAGGGGAAAGAGACCTGAGTTTGTTTAAAGGCTGATGGGAGATCAAAGGGAGAGAGATTAGTGAGGGGTGTAGGAAACGGAGATAATCAGCGGAGCGATGTTTGCAAGCACATGCCCTCATTCGGGCGTGTAGGTGGAGGGGTTGGTCTGGAGAGGAGGAGGGATGACTTCTCCAGAACCAAAAGAAGGAACAAAGAGAGGACCGGTGCAGATGTAGATGTAGGTTTGTAGTGGGATGTTAAGGGAGATTTTATCTTGAGCTTCTATTTTTTCTGCCAAGTGGGAGGCAAGGTCTTCTGCTGAGAGCAAGGAAGTGGTGGGGAGGAATCCGAAGGAAGGAGGACAGTGAGCATTCAGAGAGGCGAAGAGCAAACTTGCCTACAGAATTCCCAACTGCCTGATGGTATCGTCAACCTAGTTGAGGATGATGGTCATTCATTGATGTGTGTCCTGTCCTGTTCTGCTGAGTGATATTCCTTCACAGCTCACCTACCTGGGTACAGGCAGGGGAAAGTACTTAGTGGGATTTTTCCAGGCCTAGGGCTTTGCCATACAGGTGGGAGAAAAAGACACAGAAGTCTAAGTGTTGGCCATAGAGATGCCCAATCTCTGGGCCCTGGGACCTGGGCAGGGAGGGAAGTGAAGATAGACAGGGACAATTTTC